CATGGGGATTCAAGTGTTCCCAAGTAGAGGCTGAGGAGAATCTGCAAGAAGCCTCTTTCTCTCCAACTTTCCACAGAAAACAATCATCATCAGCCTCTTCATGGACCTTTACCACAGCAGGAGATGGTAGGCACTCTTTCAATAGTTGAATGATGGGATTTCTACTTCTACTTCTAGAAATCCACCAATCATTTCCTCTTAAAGCATCTGCCACAGTTGCATTTCTTGGCAATCCTGTAATTCTAGGACCCAAGTCTCCAGTGATATGCAACAATGGCCCCAAAGCAGTCCAATTATCACTCCAAAAATTGCAAGTGATTCCAGAACCAATCTTGCAAACAACGAAAGGCCTAGCAATAGGTCTGAGCTTGCAAAGGCTCTTCCAAATCCAGCTCCCTGAGTTAATTGTGACCATTTCCCAGAAGTTGTTCTGCTCCAATAAATTCCTCCTTACCCAAGATACCCATAATGAACCTCCAGCTGTGAACAGGAGCCAAATTAACTTTAACCCTAGGACCTTGTTCCAAGGCTGCAGCCATCTCAATCCCAGTCCACCCGAAGACTTTGGAGTACACACCTCCCAACTAACTCTAGCCCCACGAGCAGAAAAAGGAGAACCTTTCCATAAGAAAGCACAACACATCCTTTCAATAGTTTCCAAACACTTATTAGGCAAAATAAAGATGGAGGCCCAGAAGGTAATGATGGAGTAAATTACAGACTGGATGAGTTGTAATCTACCAGCAAAAGACAGGTGCTTGACAGACCAAGAGCTGAACCTGCTGAGGATTCTATCAATAAGCGGTTGGTAATCTTGTTCTTTCATTTTCTTTGAAGTGAGAGGGACACCTAGATACCTAACAAGTAGAGAGTCTTGCAGAAGACCAAGTCGGTTTGCCATTTCAGAGTTCTCCTGAATACATCTTATATCTTATAAGATATTCTCGATCAAATTGATGTGTGTTATATATCTTATAAATCCTTGTTGTATAACACTTCTACCTTTCTTAGCTCTTTAATTTGTGACTATCTAATTTGGATGAATAAATCACTCATAATTGGCTTCTTTTTCCATATGGAATCAAGGATATCAGCGAACCCATTAAAAATCATAGGAAATGTTTGACACAAAAGATGTCAAATTCAGTAAAATTATTGAAGTCAAATTTAAAACATATCTTGTTAGAAATAGATTGATTACGAATTTCGAAATTATTACTGTCATACCAATAATTTGGTCGTTTCTTATTATTTATAAATGTTTGGTTTAGGGATATGCTATAATTAACGTGAAATTGTTAAAACATAGAAAAAGCAAGATATAAAACGTTTTCATCAACTAAAGAAACTAATCAACCAATATCTTAAAGGAAAGCAAATTATAATGAATCAAGAAAACCACTTAGAGCATCCGTAGTGGCGTATCCTTGCGTGGGGTCCGTGATTGACATATTTTGTATCTTCCAGGAATTTGATAAGATGTATACATGTATGAGCTATTATATTTTAAATAATAAAGGCCTAGACGATTTTTTAGGCGGTTTAGACGTTTATAACATAAAACATTATCAATATAATATTATATATAAAAGTTATATAAAATATCTATATAAAACTAAAAATTATGAAATTATATATAAAAATTAGATAAAATATTTATTTATATTTATATTAAACAATATATGAATATTTATAACTATATATATAAATAAAACTCTAATTGAAATTGAAAAAATATATTAAACAAGATCTATATAATTTTAGGCGGTCAAGGCGGTTATCTAGGCGTCGCATGAGAGCCTAGCGCCTAGTCGGGGCCTAGGCGACCGCCTAGACCGCTTTTTAGAACACTGATTTTAAAATACAGAAATAATGCAAAAGTTGTCTCTCTCTTCACACCCGGGTGTAAGTTTACACTCGGGTGTAAGACATTCTATCTCTCTCTTTCTTTCTCTCTCTCTTTTCTCTCTCACTTTAAATTATAATAATAAAAAAAATCTTACACCCCTCCCTCATATTTACACCACTACGAATGGTCTTAGACCAATATCGCTAACTCCACGTTTTCAAGCAAATTTCCGTGATTGACATATTTTGTATCTTCCAGGAATTTGATAAGATGTATACATGTATGAGCTATTATATTTTAAATAATAAAATGCTTTTAAACGAAAGATTAAATGCATTATCACATCAATGTTGGTGTGGACCATGACCGGACGCAGGTCCGACTCAAACATTACTTAAATCTAGTGCTATCATGTTAAAAAAAATCCTAAACATATACTATTTAAAAATAAAAAAAAATAAAAACATGTAAATTTTTTTTTTTTTATCCTTGGACCATGTGTCCTAGCACCCTCAGCACATGTGCTAAGCCGGCAGTAATCGAACGGTAGGCTAAGGGTGTGGGATCCGCTTAGTTCTATTAAACAAGTTCTCATATTAAAAAAAGAAAGTTCTCGTATGGCCCGTCAATTTAAGTAAATATGTAATATGAATACTTGAAGTTATCGAGAGATACGATATGTAGGTTATTCACTTATTTGATTTGTTTTTTTGGGAAATGTACAATTCTAAAAGGTGAAAATAAGTTAGATATAGATACAGATTATGCAGGTGATGAAAGTAATTGCTAATGGGCAGCGACAAGGAAGAACAGAGTATTAAGACAAATCATAAAATCAAACGCTAAATGTCCGAAAACGTATGGAGGGTAAATAAAAACAAAGAGAAAATGATAGAATACACCACGTCCACGTGACACAAAGGAGTAAAGGGGTTTGGTTTATGAAGATTGATATGATGGGCAATGAAACAAAAGAAGATATGATGGGCATTTCACATAGTGAACAACTTTTAAAACGGTGAATAATGAATGTTAATTAATATGATCATTATGGTATCAAAATAAGATGTTAGATTTACAACTTTTTAACAAAAAAACTATATATTTACAAGAGAGGTATATATGCGACAAATATATATATATATATATACATATATTTTAATGTTTCCTTCTGAACATCTTTCGATAAGACCGCTGGAGGGTAAATAAACACCCATTACTATAAATAGAGTAAAAATCACTTCAAGACATCGGTGTAATAGCTTACAAAGAACATCTGACTCAAACCAGAAAGTGATTAGGTAGATTTAAGAAGCAACCAAATGAGGTGATATTGTTCTTGATTCGGAGCTGTTTATGTTACTAAACAATAGGAATGCGTTACATTGTATACCACGGTTGTCTAAGGAGGCAAGCCGTTGAAGTGACCATATTTTTTTATGTGTGGGTAATATCAATGAGACCCATCCTATATTGGTCATCCGAGAAATAAGGTTGCATTGCATGTCACTATGTCAGCCTCCTCAAGAATAATTTTGATTGGATATGTCGTGGTTTAGTTGGTGATTGAAATACCACCTAACCATATACACTCGATTTGGGGTATTATGGAAAAAAAAAACTAGAATGGTAAAAGTAGAATTTAAATTCAATGAGAAGATATTACTTACAATTTTTAAAAAACTATTTTGTTCTTGGACGAAAAGAAGAACGTTCGCAAAGATCAAATATTGAATAAAATTTATATAAGCTAAATAACTTTTTTGATTTATATGCAACTCTTATTTACTTTATAACACAGCAAAATAAGATCAAACAGATATAGGAAACAAAATAAATGCTTACATAGTAGTGACTCTTGATAGGAGGATATAGCCAATTTGAGAATCAAAAAAAGGAGAGAGACATTACAAAGGCCACCACTCTTATTATCTCTTATCTTCTTTCTACCTAGTATTTATCAAAAGCTTCCTTCATTTTATTTTCGTAGATATCTACGCATGCATTGTTTTTTTGGCTACACACCATATAATAAATCATCAATTCATGTGGATATCATTCTTCTATATCAATGCATTGCTATTTTTGGGCAACATATCATATGATATATGATCAATATATGTGGATATCATCCTTCATTCCTTCTATATCAATGCATTGATATTTTGGCTACATGTATCATATTAGGCCTGGGCATAAAACCCGAAATCCGAAAACCGATCCAAAACCGATCCGAAAAATCCGGAACTGAACCCAAACTGAATAGTCACAAAATCCGAACGGATAATGAATTCTCCTATCCGAATTATCCGAACCGAACCCGATCCGAACCGAAAACCGAAAGGATATCCAAAAACCGGAAATAAAAATTATATATCCAAAAATATTAGTTATATTTAGTTGTAATTTTATAGCAAATAACAAAAATATCCTAAATATCCTAGATTTGGGAAAAATTTTAGTTATATTTGTTAAAATTATACATATTTTTGCAAAATTTAACCAAATTTTAGTAAGATTAAACCAATTTTTATTAAGATTGAACTATTTTTAAGTTTTTTTTACCGAAAACCGATCCGAATCCGACACCTATCCGAACCGAAACCGAACCGATGACTCATAAAATCCGAACGGATAATAAATTCTCCTACCCAAATTATCCGAATTCGAATATATCCGAACCGAAACCGAACCGAAAAATCATAAAATCCGAACGGATAATAAACTCTCATATCCGAATTATCCGAATCCGAATATATCCGATCCGAATCCGATTTAAAATCCGAATGCCCAGACCTATATCATATGATATATCATCGATTTATGTGAATATCCTTCTTCCATAAAACCTTTTATAAACAAGATATACATTAAAAATATCTCCACGTCGTCTCTATGTTGTTATCTCATACTTCATTGATTATATAAGACGAAATAAATAAAAATATAAGTGCATTGACACACCGACACCTATAGCTTTCCTATCTTCCATTCTGATTCTTTTTTCGTCATTATGTAATTTCTGATCTATCGAGTAATTAAGGGTGAATATAAACTATATACAATTGCTTCACGTTAATTTTGTATACGTAAAATGTGAAAAAAAATTAAGAAGTTATATTAAAACTCTCCAAGAACTAAGTAAGCATAGTGGACTTTGTTTATATGTCAGAAACAGAAAGGACTTTGGTTACATCGTTTGTTTTAAGATGGGCCTTTAGAAGGCCCATATTAGGTCTTAAATTGTTTAAAAACTAATGCGGCCCAATAAAATTGCCGCGAAGCCGATGGTTTAAAACGGTAGCCTAACAAAACCGGCGGCGAAAAAAATCTGTTCTATTGCGATTTCCCGCTACTTCCATTTTCCCTCTTGTTTATTTTTTATTTTTCCTTTATTTTTCTTATCCCATTTCCTCTTAAAAAATCTGTTCTATTGCGATTTCCCGCTACTTCCATTTTCCCTCTTGTTTATTTTTTATTTTTCCTGATAACCTACAATGCCTACCATCGCCGGACCTAGTTCGTCTCCTCAGAAGCATGTCATCGGTTCTAGAGATCGGAGATTATCGGAGGTCTTAGATCCGCTGAAGTCAACACTTCTCGGAAACGGAAGTTGAGATCTGATTCGGCTGCGGAAGTTGCCGGGACGACGGTGTTGCCTGTGAATTCGATGAAATGGAAATCGCCTCGTCGATGTGCTATTTCAATCCCTAAGACCTCTGATGAGGTAATTTATGAGCTCCTTGGTCTAAGAATTCGATTTATAGTTAGTTCTTGATTAATTTTGGATTACTTAATCTGAATCTGTAATGGTTATTCGATTGCAGGAGATTAAGGAAGATTCTAATGGAAATTTGACAAGTCCAGTGATATCAGCTGTGAAAAACTTATCTGTTTGTTTAGACGTTAAATCAAAATGGAACCCTAGAGGTATGTATAGATGAGCCTTCTGATTCTTCAGTGTTCTATTTGATTCTAATGCTCTCAGTTAGTTTGATTGTATAATTGATGTATTTTGAATGGTTACAGATGATGACCAAATGAAAGCTGTGAAAGAGGCATTGCATGTGTCTAAGGCACCGTCAACTGTTGTTTGTCGTGAGGATGAGCAGAGACGGGTTTACGAGTTTGTGAAAGGTTGTATGGAACAGAAGAAAGCTGGGAGTTTGTATATATGTGGTTGTCCTGGAACTGGAAAGTCACTATCCATGGAGAAAGTAAGACAACAAGCTGAAGACTGGGCAAAGCAGGTAATCATTCTTGTGTCTGTTTCAGAAATTGTGATTGGTTTGAATCTATCAATAGGACTGATCTTTCATGAAATTTTACAGGCGGGTTTGCCTTGCCCGGAAATAGTGTCTGTTAATTGCACATCACTGACAAAAACTACAGATATTTTCTCCAAGGTAAGACTGACCTTATGCAATCTAACTACCTCCAAGTTCTGGTCTCATTTCAATGTAGTTGTTAATTGAGTTATTTTGTTTTTAGATACTTGGTAACAATGAGTCCGGGAAGAAAGCTAATGGTTCATCTTCGCCTCTACAACAACTTCAGAGTTTGTTTTCTCAAAAGCAACAACGATCCAGCTCAAAGATGATGTAGGTTTTTGTTTTGTTTTGTTTTTGGTCTTGTGATATGGTGACCTGCTAGATATAATTACAGTGCTGTTTCTCATTCAAACTTTATTTTCAGGCTAATAATTGCAGATGAAATGGATTACTTGATCACAAGAGACCGAGGTGTCCTTCATGAGCTTTTTATGCTCACAACTTTGCCTTTTTCAAGGTGTATACTTATAGGTACTGTCTTCTGCGTTATCAAAGTTCATATTTCTTATCTGTTTACTCTGGTCATACACTTTTTAAGTTTAAAGTTCGTATTTGTCCTCCAGGTGTAGCAAATGCAATAGACCTTGCAGATCGTTTCCTTCCAAAATTGAAGTCTCTTAATTGTAAGAATTTCTCCATCATTCGGTGCCATTTGACTTCTTTCTTCACCATATGTCCCTAAGCTTTAATGAAGATAAAAAGTTGTGTATACTCCTTTAACTTATAATTCCAATTAATGCAGGCAAACCTTTGGTTGTCACTTTCCGTGCCTATTCTAAGGATCAGATCCTTAGGATACTGCAGGAAAGGCTTGTGGTAAGTCTACTTCAACTTTGTGATATAAGATGATGAGAGAGATTTGTCTGATAAAGTGATTCATAAACTAGTGAAAGCAGTTGGTATTCAAGGAATTATGAAGAAAAAATGCATAGTAGATTAAGATGTCAATAACCAATGTTGACCAAATCTCAGGACCTTGGAACTGTCTGATGATATATTTAATCTAAACTCATAGTACTTTCTATGTTGATCTCAAATTATTATTTTCACTATTGTAACAGGCACTTCCATTTGTTGCATTTCAGTCCAATGCCTTGGAAATTTGTGCAAGAGTAAGAATATATATGCCATTTTTTCCCTCTCAAGCTTGTTTACATTTTGAGATTCTTTATTGATATTCATAATTTGTTCATTTTCCCAGAAAGTATCAGCTGCATCAGGAGACATGAGAAAGGCTCTATGTGTCTGCAGGTGAAATCTCTTACGAATTTTGTTTCTATTGAGTTTTTTCTTGTATTGCATAAGATGAATGAGATAGAAATGGGCTTTTTTTTTTGTGCAAATGAAATCATTACTCTAAAGATGACAATCCCAATTAACTCACATTTTGTTTTTTCCAGGAGCGCTCTAGAAATCTTAGAAATAGAAGTTAGGGGAACAATAGATCAAGAACCACAAGGTCCAGCTCCAGAGGGTCAAGTGGTTAGTATTTTACTCTCTACTTTACTCAGGTCACTTACTGACGATGAAAATATCCAGGATCTATAGAAACCGTTGTCTTATTCCATAATTGTTATCACTGAATCTATAGGTGAAGATGGATCATATGATAGCTGCATTGTCCAAGACGTTTAAATCTCCAGTAGTTGACACCATCCAGTCTCTACCTCAACACCAACAAGTAAGTTACATATCAAAACACACACACATTTTTTTATATCTGGTTCTTCTCGTTTTCAAGTATTAAGTAACCGTCAGGATATGCTTACTACATAATTTTACATAGAATTAGCAAATCTTAGTTTTAAGATAACAAAGTTGAAGTCACAACGAAACTAAAGATCCGTGTTAGTGTTTATTTGGTTCTATGACTTAGTGGCTAACAAGACCGATTCTGAAATTATGTAATGGACTTAAATAACATGCTTCTATTGAAAATTTGCAGATCATAGTCTGTTCTGCTGCAAAGGCCTTTAGAGGAAGCAAAAAGGATAGAACCATTGCAGAGGTAAATCTTCATTGAATAAATAATACAGTCACACAACATGAAGTTATAAATTGAGACATTGTACATAATATTCATCTCTGTCTTCCCACTTTGATTCAGTTAAATAAGCTATACTTGGAAATCTGTAAATCTTCGATGATAACTCCAGCTGGAATTACTGAGTTCACTAACATGTGCACAGTGCTAAACGACCAGGTACTAACTCCTATCAGAATATTCATCGTCTAGAAGAGTATAAGCTAGAATAATAACTCATGGTTTCTTGGTTTATATAACAAAAGATGAAATAGAATCTTGAAGAGACATTTGATAGAAAAAATCATCTTGGTTTGGCACAGGGGATTTTAAAACTCAGTCATGCTCGAGACGATAAGCTAAAGAGAGTGAGCCTTAGAGTAGATGAAGCAGACATCACATTTGCTCTTAAGGTATACACACACTCCCTAACTAATTACAAACTATTTCCCAAATTCAGTTTCTTAATTTAACACATTTCCTTTTCATTGCACAACAGGAAATTCGATTCTTCCGCAACTGTCTTCTATGATGAAGTTACTGAGTTATAGCAACGGGTTGGTTCCTTCATTCTTTATAGAATACAAAGAGTGTAAAAAAACTCAGTACACTCAAATTGTTTTATAATCAAACTATACTCTTTATGAGATTACAGGCTGATTAGCGCAGATGTTGAACTCTTATTATGTAATCTTCCTTTTTCCGACAACTTCCATATTAACATTTATAGTATTAGCCATGCTCTCAATGAAATTAATGCCATCAAGTGATTGTCCTTTGTAAATTTTGGAACGTTAAAAGACACTTACATACATTTCCTACTCTACTTGTTATAGATGCATTATTGATGTATATACTAGGGACTAGGTCAACAATAGTAATAGAAAATCAGTAACAATCATTCAAGTTTTTACAAGATGCAAACAAAGGCATTAGTTACATACTTGCATTGAAAGAGAACTCAGTGTCTGTCATTCAACTGTACAAGGCCTTAATAAACGATACTGGTAGATAGATTTTAAATTGGCCACTCACACTCACTAAACCAGGCAAAACAGCATGGGAGAGAGTGTTACATTAGCAATGCAAAAGATCATAAGAAAAAGGTCATCTAAAGAAACGAGGCTGACCTCAAAAAAATTCAGAGTCTCAACCAATGAAACTTAGGACAGCAGTGATTGTCTCGTTTGTTGCTTCTGAACATATTATATCCTACATCACTCTGAAGTTTCATATCGACCCGTCTGAGCTGTCTCATACTTCCTGGAAGGCATTTTTGGGCTTAAAAGCAAAGAATATATTGAGGTCACATATAGAAATCCTGATAATTAAAAATATTAAAGCATTTTTACCTTAAAGCTGATAGCTCTACTTCCAATGCTGCACCCATAGAGAACAGAACTTGGCCTCCATACTTGTGACTAATTCTAAGTAGTAGCAATGCAAGTTATGCTTCTAAGGTACAAGAATGCTTAGAAGCACTAAGAGAGGCATCAAGGATCCTGCCAACGACCTGAGAAGATCATCAAGTCATGCAATGTTCAAGAAAATGCTTCACAAGCACTAACCTCTGGTGTAACTTATCATACACGTAAACCATAATATTTGTTATATCCTTTTTTTTTCACCACTTAGATTTTGTTCTATGTATAGATATAACTAATTAATAAAATTTAAGATGTAATTTGATATGTTTAATTTTCTTTTATAACAAAATCCGAGTTGAAACCGATCCTAAACCGGGATTGAAAACCCTTAACTATATATAATGATGAGCGCGGCCTTTATAATAACAACGATCGATCTCGTTTCTTTTCTTAGCTAGAGAGATGCTCTAATAGTCCAAGTAAACAGAGAGAAGTCAATTTTTGATGTTGTTTGTTAATAGGAATCGTATTCGGCTGAGCCAGAGACTCAGTTATTGAGGTTTATGGATTACGTTGGGAGAGAACTTACACAAGTGCGATTTCCATGGCTGAAGATGTTTCCTTTCAAGGGTCCTTGGCCCAAGCTTATCGATGTGATCAATGTAAGCTATTTCTTTTACGTTTTTTTTTTCCAATCAAAGTCGTCTATGTTAGATTGTTTGAGCTGATTAACTTTTTCTTATAACCAGGTTCCAGTGTGTGATATTCCTGAACCTATCTACAAAACATCTGTCGATTGGATCAAACAAGTTCCAGTAATGACACTCTCTGGCTTCATTGTGTGGGCGTTTCGCTGCACTCTCACTCATTTGGAAGCACAACAAGAAGGTGTCAATTCTGGCAAGATTGGTGAACAACCTACTTCTCCCAAACCTCATGTAACCTTTCTCGAAATTGATTATCGCTTTCGCTTATGTATGTGTGGTTGAATGGTGTAATCCAGTTTCCTTTGTTTTGACTAACTCCATTATGTTTGCTTAGGTGGTAGTATTTGTTACATTGGCAATGGTATTACGTACAAGACCTGAAACTTTTACTTTTGCATTGCGGACTATTAGGCAGAGGCGTATGTTTCAAGGACAGGACAAGATTCCGTTTACAGTTTGGATGATGGCTCAGGTTCGTGTGAACTAGGACCAAGAGTTTTGGAAGTTGTGTTTTATGTGAACTGTATTATGAAATTTATTGAACTGTAAAATGTGGACAGGCCTCCCAGGGTTATTTATGTGCAGGCTTGCTTTCATGGGCGCATAACTTGTTACCAGTAGTCAGTAATTCGGACTGCAACCCTCAGTCAAGGGATCTCATCCTGCAGTTGGTTGAGAAGTGAGTCGCAAGTTTTCTTTTTCATCTCCTTTTTTGCTATATACAATCATCTGATCTTTGTTTATGCAATTTTCTTTATCAGAATTTTGTCGGATCCAATGGCTTGGACAATGCGTAGGAATCAAGCTATTAGGGAGAGAGAGCGACTGATTCCACCTCCTTCATTTGAGATCTTGCTGCGGCTTACATTCCCTGCTTCATCTGCAAGAGTCAAAGTAAGTAGCTAGTAATATTGGAATTCATAAAGCAAAACATTGATGCATGCGTTTTCCGATTCTGATCACAAGCATGGTCTCTGTGCGCACACAGGCTACAGAGAGATTTGAGGCAATTTATCCCTCACTGAAAGAAGTGGCTCTTGCCGGTGCACCAGGAAGCGAGGCAATGAAACAAGTCATTAAACAGATATTCACTTTGTCTTTGAAATTAGCTAAAGAAGGTATATAATTAGTAACAAAACCTTGAATCCTTGAGATTTCTGCTTCTCTCGCTCTCTCTCTTCTCCGAATAGAAGTTCTAATGTGTTACCGTTGTCACAGGAAATCCTACTTTGGCCAAGGAAGCTACAGAAATCGCTATCTGGTGTGTGACCGAACATGTTGATTGCTGCGAGCACTGGGACAATCTCTATATGAGGAATCCAGCAGCTAGTGTTGCTGTTCTAAAAAAGCTTGTGGACAATTGGAAGGATCATTCCCTCAAAATATTTTCATCACCGAGAAATACTCTCACTCTCGGTCAAACTATGAAGAGCTTCAGGCTGGAAGTAATACCTCTTACTCTTCGAAGGCTAACTAATTTTATTTCATCTCTGACTTAAAGCTGTTGTGATATTTTAGAACCAAAAAGCCATCACTGAAGGAGGAGCGAATGTTTCTCTTTACAAAGAAGCTGACAAGTACTGCAAATTGATCTCGCGGAGACTCTCCTACAACCATTACTGCCTCAAAGCTACTGCTGTGGTTCTAGCTGCTGCAGGAGCCACTGCTGCAGTTGTTCTATCTTCCAACATGGAGCTTAAGAACCTGGTGAACTCATTGGATCTGCACCTATACCTCAATGCAATCACCACAGCTTTTAACATCTAAGAGAGAAATATCTGATACAAGCAGTGAGGGCTTTGAGATTATTATCTATATAAGCTAATGTCTTAACATCTTTCTAGTAGGAGTATTTAAAAACACAAAATATTTTAGTATATGACAGTAATTTGCATTTTGACTTTGATGAACTGAGATCCTACGATCAAATCAAGCCTGGTTTTTTTTTTTTAATACACTTCTTGAGTCTCATATGTCCACATGAGTCTCATCTATTGATTCATATAGTTTGCAATAATGCTCCAAAGATAAGGATTTGATAGTGCCTAGGCATATGGTGAATACTGGTCAGTTCGGTTCAGAAGTTCAGGTCGTTCGGGTTAAAGAAACCACTTCCGATTTGAACCAATTATCAATTTGGGTCAGTTCGGTCTAAATTCCAAAATTTCGGTTCGGTTCTCTAAATTATTGTGGCAGGCTGGCAGCCAAAGTTGAACCGAATATCATATTCGGTTCAGCTCGGTTCATATTAATAAAACTATTGATATTTTCTTGGATTACAGGTGATTTCGGTTAATTTCGGTTTAATGCGGTAAATTTCAGTTCAATTTGGTTAAAATCGGTTCGATTTGGCTCACTAATTTATCACATCATCGTCCAATTTCAGTCAACACAACACCATTAGTGCAGATTCTCTAGTACACTCATCATAACAAATCACCAAAAAACTTAGATATTCAAAGATTCAAAAGAGTCACAGATGACAACCATAATAAATCACATCAGAGACTTAGAGTAGTCTACTCTTAGAAAACTGAAGCATAAGAAGTAAGATACCTAAGCAACTACTGCTTATTAAAACTTTAAGAGGATATAAAATGAATCTAAGGAGGTTGCTTGAATTGCTTCAAGTACCTGAAACAAATAGACCATGAAAGCATTGTAAGTCCAGATTTTCGAGTGTAAGAGAGTAAGAGACATAGGCTATTGCTTACCTAGAGGTGTCAAGCGGGCCAATAGCCAGCGGGCTTTGTCCAAGTAGCCCACAGCGGGGCGGGCTTGGACATCATTTTTCATACCCATAAAATAACGGGCCTCACGGACAAGCCCAGACGGATTGCGGGTTTTTGCGGGCAGGCCCGCGGACTACAAATATTTAATAAAAATAAATAATTAATATAAATAAATAATTATTTTTACATAATTCTGAAAATATATATGTGAAATATATGAACATATAACGAAATTTAATGTATAAAATTATAAGATTTACAAAAAAATTAATTCTAAAAGTTTTTTTTTATTGAAAAATTGTTAATTTCAAATTTTAAAAATTAATTTTATTTTTTAATTATTTTTAAAATATTTAAAATTAAGCCCGCGGGCCAGCCCGCTAACCCGTTGGGCTTAGCGGGGCGGGCCTGGACATATTATTTTTGCCCGCGGTCCTAGCGGGCCGGCCCGCCGCGGTCTCATAAATTTAAATGCCCATCGCGGGCCGGCCCAGATGGACGCAGGCCGGCCCGTTTGACAAGTTCTGAACTTGGAGACATTTTTTGCACAACTTAGAATTGTCTCCTTGAATCTGTAGAAGGAAAGTAAGTCGTTAATATTCATCACATCTAAAGACTGATAAAATTCAAAACATAGTCCCTAATACACATTATCAAGTTGAGCTAAGAGATAAAAGCCCCTAACCTCAAGTATTTTTGTTGACGTGTAATTAGAAGTACTTTATGAATTATGTTTCTTTCTTGCAATGCAGAGAGATGACATTGTATACTTCCATTAACAATGTCGGGAACCGAGTAGCAAAGAACTTGTCCAATCCTTCTGGATTTGTTCCCACAAGATCCTGAGTACAAAAAATAAGTTGAGTCTTTTGTACAATAGTGTCTGAAAAACTTGCTAACAAGGAAAAACCTGGATGTCTTATGGAAGTTCTCTGTAGTGATTCGCAGAATTTCTGACTAATCAAAGCAAGTGCTGCATGCTTCTGAAGTCGTAAGCCCTATGGACCTTGCCAGTCTTCTCACTGTCACGTTCTGTAATAAGGTAGGACTAAACTTGTGACCAATCTTATTCTCCCATGTCGGATTCCCTCCCATAACATCATATGATTTCTGCCTTAATGCATCCAAGATGGTAGAGTTGGCATGGTTTTCCACTCGGTCACTGGCTTCTCGCAAGAATGATAGCCTCATATCAGCGTTCTGGTGTAAAAGATTACACATTCCAAGTTGAACATGTCGATTGTACAAGTTCCATCATCCATGCGAAGAAGCTGCTCTGATGCTTGTCAACCCTTACTACCTACAATATTCATGGATGCGTATTAAAGAGTGGTTTGAAACTCATTTCATAAGCATAATCATTGGTTCAACAAAAAAATTGTTTTCAAAAGTTATTCAGTCTATCAATTGATACAGTAATCAATCAAACACAAAAAGAAAGGATGACTCATCAAAGAGACGCTTGTTGTTGCCCATATTTGAAAGCTTTGCAATCAAAGTCATTTGCACATTTCAAGCTTGAACTCTTGATAAACTACTTCCAAGTCGTTCAAGTGGGAAGTCCATAAGTTATATCCTTACATCACATCACAAATATCCCAAAAAATATTAGTTGTATATTAAAAAGTATACATCACAATACAAATATTATGAATTAATTTGAAATCTAAATTAACCTCATTAATTCTTGCAAGACGGGTGACAAAAGGCCCACAACTTCTCACAATACATTTTCATCCAATGGCATCTCCAAATAATCTTTAGTTAATTTGCTTTTTTTTCTTTACTTCGTCCCTAGAGAAGATGACAAGATCATGTAGATCACATGTCCAAGGTTCCCAGAGGTAAGCAAAATCCTTGAACTCATAACAGAAACGGATGATTCTTGAGTGTTTGTCTGATGCATTATGGCTATTAATTTCATTCAAAATCTCGGATGCCTCAATTTAGGATAGACTAAGGCATTTTACAGCCACTATGCGCCGTGGTTGACTAAAGCCCTCAAATACCGAAGAGTCTTTTTCATATTCAATATTATTATTCATTATAAACAATCTATTAATTATTTTACAAACTTTATCTTGAAAGAATTCGCCTCAACGGAAAGTTAGAAGCTTTTCAACTTCTCGAAGGTGCTCTGGTGCATCATGGGTTGAATGAGCTTGTGCTTCAACTATGATACAACTTTTTTTTTGTTGATATCCTATAATTGAAAATGTTTTTCTTTGTATTTTAAATTTTAAAATCTCTATGAAATTATTAAAATCTCCAAAATCTATAGCTTAAATTTCAAAATCATGTGTAAACTGTTTTTCTTTGTATTTTAAATTATTAGAATCTCTATGAAATTATTAAAATCTCCAAAATCTATAGCTTAAAATTCAAAATCATGGATTATATATTTTAAATTATTGATTGAATAACACATATTTTCAATTTGGAAATTTAAATTGACCAAAATTCTGGTTAAATTTTAAAATTAATAGAGATCATGAATCCAGCAAATAGATATGTTGGTTACAAAACTGTGCTTGACCGTTTTTTTTGGCAAACACATCCAGACCAGATATGCTTTGGTTAACGGTCTAATTCGGTCCGATCACCGGTCTGGTCCGGTTTAGAAAACATTGCTATACGGGCTTTGTATGTGTGTATTCTCCAGTCACTTAAAACTGTTATCGAAAGACTTAAAATCAACGAGCTCACGGGGATGTCGGCCGTTTCAATCTCCGCCGTCAAATCTGATTTTTCCACCGTCGAGGTCATAACCGTTACACACCATCGGACGCCGCCGCTACATTTTCCTTCGCTCCGGTTTCCACTATCGTTCAAATCCCCGCCGGCTACTTCTCTTAACCTTGACAGTGGATCAAAACTCCTCCACGTCTCTCGTCTTCCTTCTATCAAATGCTCATCTTCTTCATATACTCCGTCGTTAGGTAAAATCTTCTCCCTCATTAGCGCCTCTCAATTTCGATCGAAGTTAAACTTCTTCTCTCCTCACAGATTTATCGGAGGAACAGTTCACAAAATTTAAACAAGCATCGGAAAAGGGAAACTTAGTTCCTCTATACCGATGTGTATTCTCGGATCATTTGACTCCGATACTTGCTTACCGATGTTTGGTGAAAGAAGACGATAGAGATGCTCCTAGCTTCTTGTTTGAGTCAGTGGAGCCTGGTTTGCAATCCTCCAACATCGTAAGCCTTTCTTTTTAGATGATTGTTCTCAGTTTATGCATTGTGTTTGGTTCAATGAATTGAACTCTTGGATGATTTTTTCTTAGGGGAGGTTTAGTGTAGTTGGAGCTCAGCCCACAATTGAAATCGTGGCAAAGGGAAATGCAGTTACTGTGATGGACCATGGAGCTGGTCTTAGGACAGAGGAGGAAGTGGATGATCCAATGATGGTTCCTCAGAAAATCATGGATGAATGGAAGCCACAACGCATTGATGAATTGCCTGAAGCTTTTTGCGGTGAGTGGAGAAATCTGTTTTCAATAGAGTAATGTTTGTTTAGCATTGCTGATATTTTGGATGGTTGATTTGATTTGTTAAACAGGTGGGTGGGTTGGATACTTCTCATATGACACTGTACGTTATGTTGAGAAGAAGAAGCTGCCATTTTCAAATGCTCCAGAGGATGATAGGAGTCTTCCTGATGTTCATTTGGGTCTTTATGATGATGTGATCGTGTTTGATCATGTCGAGAAGGTATACTGTTGTTTGTTTTTAGTATTTGCATCGTTTTGCGGATTATGAATTGAAGAATTGATCTAGTTTGTCTTGATCCTTGGTAGAGTAATTAACTTTGCTGAATTTCCTGTTGAGTACAGAAAGCATATGTGATCCACTGGGTGCGGATAGATAAGGATCGTTCTGTTGAAGATAATTTTACTGATGGAATGAATCGGTTGGAATCTCTAACCGCTAGAATTCAAGACCAAAAACCGTGAGTAGATCGTTTTACCAGTCTTTTAGATTATAGTTTTGTCTTTTATTTATAAGATTCTGTTTATGCTCATGTGTTTCTTTTGAATTGCAGCCCCAAGATGCCTACTGGTTTCATAAAACTACGCACTCAGCTCTTCGGTCCTAAATTGGAGAAATCAACTATGACGAGTGAGGCGTACAAGGAGGCAGTGGTGGAAGCCAAAGAACATATCTTGGCTGGGGACATCTTTCAGATAGTTCTTAGTCAGAGATTTGAAAGGCGGACATTTGCAGACCCATTTGAGATATATAGAGCTCTTAGGATTGTAAATCCAAGTCCGTACATGGCCTATTTACAGGTATACTGCTATGGTCCTCTTTTCCTTACATATTTCATGAAAGTTAATATTACTAATCTGTGGACTCTCTCTTTTTTATTCTGTATGTGTTTAATTTACAGGCTAGAGGATGCATATTAGTTGCATCAAGTCCAGAGATATTGTTACGTTCAAAAAATGTAAGTGTTATCTACTCTCTCCTCTTTGGTTCCCTTAATCTATGAACCCCATCGTTTCATGAATGGCTCAATGTGTGTTTCCTTCTGCTACAGAGGAAAATTACCAATCGCCCCCTTGCTGGAACTGTCAGAAGAGGAAAGACACCCAAAGAAGATCTAATGCTGGAAAAAGAGCTCTTAAGCGATGAAAAACAATGCGCAGAGCATATTATGCTTGTTGATTTGGGAAGGAACGATGTTGGCAAGGTTCATCACTTGACCACTGCTCAACTCTTCTTCAGTCTCTGACCCTCTCCTTTTGGAAGCTAACATGCAGTTTTTAATCGGTAATCTAACTTGTTGGATATTCTCGTAAACTCAGGTTTCAAAGCCCGGTTCTGTGGAGGTTGAGAAGCTCATGAATATAGAACGGTATTCACATGTCATGCACATTAGCTCCACGGTATGCTTCTATTGCAATTTTACAAACAAGCAAACTTTCAATTCTAAAGTCCTTTTGCCTCAATGGATTTTTTGCATAAGTTTTGTTTTCACTCTAGTTAGTTTATAAGAGATCACAGTCCAATAATGAAAATTTTGAATAGAAGTGGTGTTGAAGCCTAGTTCTGTCTACACTAGAGAACCCATGAATATTTAACTTCACATGTTATGTGCATGAGCTTAACAATATGCTGTCCAATTTCTGTTTGTCTAACAACACATCTCCTTCTCCGCAGGTAAAAGGCGAATTACTAGATAATCTAACAAGCTGGGACGCTCTTCGAGCTGCACTTCCCGTTGGAACCGTCAGCGGAGCCCCAAAGGTTCTCTCTCACTAAAACCACAAACTCATTACACATTCACCATACTTAAAAATCATTTGATACAGGTAAAAGCCATGGAGCTGATAGATGAACTTGAAGTAACGAGGCGTGGTCCTTACAGTGGGGGTTTTGGAGGCATTTCGTTTAACGGAGACATGGACATTGCCTTGGCTCTCAGAACGATGGTCTTCCCAACAAATACCCGTTATGACACATTGTACTCTTACAAGCATCCTCAGAGACGCCGAGAGTGGATTGCTCATATTCAAGCTGGAGCTGGGGTTGTTGCAGACAGTAACCCTGATGATGAACACAGAGAGTGTGAGAACAAAGCAGCAGCTCTAGCCCGAGCCATTGATCTTGCTGAGTCCTCCTTTCTTGAGACACCTGAGGTTACTACTATCACACCTCACATCAACAATATTTGAGCATAAGCATTCTTGTTTTCTTTACTTTTGATTTCAGTATTACTCACTCAGATAGCTGTTTGATTTGCGAGAATGGCTCTTTCGAGTATTAGAATTTAGGACTTGTGTCCGAGGTTTGAGGTCTGTGGGACCAAAAGTTGCTAGAGTTTATGGGTTCTTCTTAATATTACAACTTGTACTAGCAAATATTTACAAATAATGTCATATGATCGATCATACAAATATAGTTTTGCCACTTCTACTGATTGGGGATGTGCCTTTAGTCAAGTGGTTAAGTCCACTTGACTCCGTCTTCCCCACCGGAGTTCGACTCCACTAAATCGCGTTACCCCCGCGTAGTAGGGATTGGCTATAGATCGGGCATTGTCGATCCAAAGATGTAAAAAAAAAAGGGTTTGATTGATACCGACCAAACAACACTTGTTGGGAGCTACCTAACCGCTTTAGCGATTTACCAATTGATGAAACCGTAATCTTATACGGTTATACGGTTAATAAAATTGGTTAAAATCGACGGGCAAAGTAAACGGTTAAATTACGGTTTCAAACGGATTAAACTATGCGGTTGGACATAGTTAACCGTATAAAATAACTAAACCGTTTATAACCATACCGGTTTAATCTTACCTATACTACGAGTCACAGCCTAGTTTGTCACTAAACCGAAAAAATGAATCTGGTCCGCCATTTTATAATCTGTATGCCACTATATATGTGTTATCACCATTTTACCCTTAATGAATTATTCTTACTTAATTTTAAAAAAATAAAATTAAAAATAAAAAAATAAAAAAAACTCTTGTAGATCCCAATGAAACGTAAAGAAACGCTCAGACAACATGTGGCTTTTATTTAATGTTGTACTTACCCAATATGTGGACCCCACTAAAAAGTTTTTTTTGTTTTTTTGCGGTAGAATATACTCATAGTTGTCTAGTTGTACTATCGTAATCATAGTTGGACTTTCCACAGTTTTCATAATTTGCAGCTGTAAATAAATAATTACAAGTTGGACAAATGATTTCTCTAAATTATTTTGCATTTCCAAAGTTTTCATAATGGAACATTGGTGAAAACTTGGTTTTCACCTTTTTTACTTCATATAAGAGGATCATATACTAAGTATTCCTTATACTAGAAGGGGTGTTTTATGTGAAAACAACATCTTTCTTAGAAATTATTAAATTTTTATTGTATTGATCCAAAATAGTTTGTTTATATTTTGGGTATTTAGTATATAATTTCACGTTTATAATAAATTATCAGTTATGAAAAATCAACAAATTTAAACATTTTAGCGTTACTTAGTGAACTGGTTGAACTAATTATATTAAATATTACCACGAAAACCAAAAATAGACATTTGAACTAGTTTAACAATGCCCAAATTATGTGTCCAACTACTATTTAATAATTTATATTATAGTCCAACTGTAAATACGAAAAAATTGTCAAAGTCCAACTATGAATATGAGAGAACAACTATAAGTATATCCAGCCGCCAAATCTAAAAGTGTATTTTATCCAGTCCCATAACTGTGCACTTTACCACACATTGGATGATTTTAAAACATTTTAAATTATCTACATTAAATAATTTTAATTTATATTTTATTTTCTTCTTTCTCAATTTACCCAGTTGGACCTAATAATTAAACCTCAGTTGTACCTAATAATTACATTTATACCAAAATACATAAACAAAAGACCCACTTTACCATACATAAACAAAGTTGAACCAAGTTGAACTAGTTGAATGGATAAAATCTCCTAAATGATAATTAATAGAGAAAAATTATGTGGCCAACTACAACATAATAATTTATATCAAGGTCCAACTACAAATACGCAAAAATCGCCAAAATACAACTATGAGGATTAATGTACAACTGTTCACTTGAGAACAACTATGTTTATAACATACAAATTTTTAGACGTAGTTGTATCTAAATGTATTAGTTGTACCTACGAAACCAATTGCATACATGAAAGTTATCGGCAACAAAAATCTCAAAATTTATGTTCTATCTCCGTTACTTTATAATATACATCGAATTGCCTTGTTGGCTTTGAAACTAAAGCTTACTTTAATCTAAACCAGAACCATTGAACTAGATTTATTAAATGAACTAGACAAAACGGGTGGTAGATGTTCTAATGATTGGACATTTTCCTCATAGATGCCAAATCTCTCCGCCGAGTTAGGCATTGTCTCCTCTTAAAATCGGTCTGCAATTATCAAAATAGAACAAACCACTAACTCCGACAACTTTGGGAAGACTTATTCTTCTTGCTTTGACCAAACCCAACATCTCTTCACTTAATTCCAAAGTCATCATTTCAATCTCTCCCCAAACTTTAAACCGATCCGGCAACACCGTCGTTATTAAATGGTCTAGAGTGACATCACGATGTGGTCGATGACTTGGTGTTTCTTCTCGATTATGATCGTTGGATTTGCGAAGAATTTGAGTATATGTGCATATGAGAAGACTTGGGTTCTCAACTGAAGTTTGGGTTCTCGGAAGAATCGAATAGGAATTTATAGCCGATGAAGTGATCGTGAAGTGAGTTCGGTGGCGAGTAGATTCCTAACCAATCGTCGCTCCAATCATACCTCCAACTACCTCAACGTCCTCGTTGACGCTAACCAGATTCGTATCGTGACGGAGATCGTCAAGAAGTTCGAGCTGGTTTACAACAAGGTTATGGATACAAAATTGGTGGAAGATAGGTTGGTGGTGAAACTGGAACCGCCGCAGTAAGCTTAGATCGTAAAACAGGTTCATACGACGATTTCAAAATTTAAAATCTTTTCATGAATCTAAGAAGCAGATTTCAAGAGAAATCTTGCCAAAATTGAAGAATTTTAATCAAGATTAACTATTTCCCAAACTCTGATTTCGATTTTTAACGCAAATGGTTTTTGGATTGAATTTCATAGAATTAGATTTGGGGATTTTTAGAACTCAGTTAAAGAAGAAGAAAAAAAGACAGAAAAAAAAAACTACGATGAAGAAGAGAATACAAATATAATTGGATGGATTTGGGTCCCTCATGGTTGAATATGTAATTTTTAGTAGATATTAAGGGTTTTTAGACTTTTTCTACATATTTTGATTTAAAAGAAATTGTTAAATAAAATTAAAAATAGAGAGTAGCATTCTAACCTAACTTTTCTTAGTAAGCGGCTTTCTAGCGATTGTTTCCTATACTACCCAACAACACTTCTTACGTGACCCCATAAAACAACAGAGAGCCAGCGTAATCGCGACCGACCTCACTGAAAGAGCGACCAAAACGCAGCGTTTTGACAGCAATTGAGTGGATACCGAATCACACAATAATACAGAAAGACATTAAAAAAAGCAATAAAGGAATCCATCGCGCGACGAACAAGTCGTGGTGAGATTTTAGGAAGACGAAGATGGAGAGTATCTGGCGAATCGCGACGGGCCAAGATCCTAACCGTGAAGATTACGAAGGGATCGAGTTCTGGTCAAACCCTGAGCGTTCTGGTTGGCTCACAAAGCAAGGCGATTACATCAAAACCTGGCGTCGTCGTTGGTTCGTTCTCAAAAGAGGGAAGCTTCTCTGGTTCAAAGATCAAGCCGCTGCTGGAACTCGTGGATCTACGCCGCGTGGTGTGATCTCCGTTGGTGATTGTCTCACCGTGAAAGGAGCTGAGGATGTTGTGAATAAGCCTTTTGCTTTTGAGCTATCTAGTGGTAGCTATACCATGTTCTTCATTGCTGATAACGAGAAGGAGAAAGAAGAGTGGATTAATTCGATTGGAAGGTCGATTGTGCAACACTCGAGGTCTGTGACGGATTCTGAGGTTCTCGATTATGATCACAGGCGGTGATTATTATTACTATCTAAATGTGTGATTTTGTTGTTGTCTCTCACTCTTTTGGCCTTAGGGTTTTTTCGTGGAATGTAATACTCTCTTTTCTTTAAAACTATGATGTTATTGTACCTTGATCGTGATGTATCTAATGCCTCAAGTTTCGAATCGATTCTCTCTTTGTCATGATTTTTATCCTATTTGATTCAATGAGTTCCTCTTATCTTTTGAATGATTTAGTTGTTCAGCTTGTATAAGTTCGATCTGTTTAGGGTTTCTGAAAGAGGATTTGGTCTCTGCAATGAGTTAGATCAGTAAGAACGATCTCCCGGAATCTCATTCTAGTTCAGTGGTTTTGGAGATGTGAGATTGATTTATAGAAATGAAGAAAGTGAGAGATGCAGGAAAGTAGCTTTCTTTGGTTGTGGGTCAAATTCTTATCATCTTTATCTACCTACCATTATTTAAACCTTTTATGTGATATTTTCTCTCCAAACTGTTTACGGACACCTCAAACATTAGGTAGGACTTAGGAGCAACGCGTATCACGTGTGACAGAGTGATACACAAAGTCAATTGGAGGAAGGTTACTAACTATATTCTTTTCTTTGGTATGTAGCAGACGAGGCTGTGGAGGAAAGAACCAAAGGTGTCTGTTGTTAGAGATGAGGAATGCAGAGCTCATCTTCATCCCTACACCGACTGTTGGTCATCTTGTTCCGTTTCTTGAATTTGCTAGGCGTCTGATTGACCAGGATGATAGAATCCGTATCACCATCCTCTTGATGAAGCAACAAGGTCAGTCTCATCTGGATTCCTATGTTAAATCAATTGCCTCTTCTCAGCCCTTCGTTAGATTCATTGATGTTCCTGAGTTAGAGGAGAAACCTACACTTGGTACACAGTCTGTAGAAGCTTATGTATACGATTTTATTGAAAAAAATATTCCTCTTGTGAGAAATATTATCATCGGTATCTTATCTTCTCCTGCATTTGATGGAGTCACGGTCAAGGGATTCGTTGCTGATTTTTTCTGTCTCCCAATGATTGACGTTGCAAAAGATGTAAGTCTCCCGTTTTATGTGTTCTTGACTACGAATTCGGGGTTCCTAGCTATGATGCAGTATCTGGCAGTTCGACATAAGAAAGATACCTCAGTTTTTGCAAGAAACTCTGAAGAAATGTTGTCGATTCCTGGATTTGAAAACCCTGTCCCAGCCAAAGTTCTGCCGTCAGCTCTGTTTGTTGAAGATGGTTATGATGCTGACGTTAAACTGGCTACATTGTTTACAAAGGCCAATGGAATCCTAGTGAATACCTCCTTTGATATTGAGCCTACCTCTCTGAATCATTTTCTTGAAGAACAAAATTACCCTTCTATTTATGCTGTTGGCCCCATATTTAACCCGAAGGCCCATCCTCATCCAGATCAGGACCTCGCCCGTTGTGACGAGTCGATGAAATGGCTTGATGCTCAACCCGAGGCATCGGTTGTATTCCTTTGTTTTGGGAGTATGGGCAGCTTAAGAGGTCCTCTAGTGAAGGAAATAGCACATGGACTTGAGCTATGTCAGTACAGATTCCTCTGGTCACTCCGCACAGAAGAGGTGACAAACGATGATCTTTTGCCAGAGGGATTCATTGACCGTGTCGGTGGACGGGGAATGATATGCGGTTGGTCTCCTCAGGTGGAAATACTGGCCCATAAAGCAGTTGGAGGTTTTGTGTCTCATTGTGGATGGAACTCAATAGTAGAGAGTTTATGGTTTGGTGTGCCAATTGTGACATGGCCAATGTATGCAGAGCAACAGCTCAATGCGTTTCTGATGGTGAAGGAACTGAAGCTCGCAGTGGAGATGAAACTCGATTACAGTGTACATAGTGGTGAGCTTGTAAGTGCAAACGAGATAGAGACTGCTATTCGTTGTGTAATGAACAAGGATAATAATGTTGTTAGGAAGAGAGTGATGGGTATCTCTCAGATGGTCCAGAGAGCTACGAAGAATGGCGGATCTTCGTTTGCCGCTATTGAGAAATTCATACATTACGTGATAGGAGCCAGGACTTAGCCTTTTCTTATCGGTTTCTCCATAAACTGTAACCTTGATTATGCTACAGTCCTTTGAATCTGCTTTGTCTCTATTATTTTCTTTTCTTTTCTTTTGTCATCAGCTTTGCTTCTAATTATGGCTGTATTGGTTTCTTTGTTAGTCAAACTTACTCTGCTCTAGAGGCCTTCCCTCTCATAGCATAAACGAATTACATTGTCTTATTCTTTTACATTCAATTCACAGAGTTTTTATTATCTTCTTTGAGATTGTTCCTCTGATTATACATTGTTCAAGTCCTATATCTAATGGAACAAATGCTTTTAGATCTCACTACATAGACAGTTCAAAATGGCTGCCAAATTCAGCTTTTTGAAACATAGAGAGGCTCACACTCAAAGTTTGTGTGTTCCAGAATTGGTCCGAGAGGATTGTCCCATTGCACTGACAATATTGTCTCTAATGGAACACACAAGAGGATTGTCCGACTGCAGAAGTTTTCCAACTAGGTTTGCAAGTGCTGTCAACCGGAATACCTGAGACCATCTCTCACTCCTATATGATTCCATTGCCCCTTCAATTGATTCGGTCCCTCCATTCATTGCAGTGGCAAGTTTATTTGCCAGAACAACTGAATCTTCCAAGGCACAACAAGCACCTTGTCCAAGATTTGGAGTCATTGGGTGCCAAGCATCTCCAACAAGAACAACCCGACCTTTTGATGCTCGAGGAGCAATACCAGGCCAAACCCACTGGTCTACAAGAGGATCTCTGCTGATTGCATCATCAGGTGTTTGATCGATGAGGTTTTGCAGATCTTCTGGCCAGGTACTAACCAGTTCCTTGGCTTGTTTTCTTAGGATAGCTGGATCTGTAATTTTGGGACCTGCATGTCCCAAGATTTCTGATATTAGGAAATGAAAGAAGGAATTATCTTTGTGGAATGTGTGAGAAGTCTTGAACTCTACCTAGAGATGGGCTGTTGAAACAGATGAACCAGTAGACTTTTGTTGTAGATACAGGTACATATGCAGCTCGAAGCCCTCTACCGAATATGTAGTTCACCTTTTGCTGAAATGGCTGTCCATTTGGAAAGAACCCGAGGCCACGGAAAGCGGAATAACCAACGTATTTCGGCTCACTGAACCCCATCCAAGTTGCAACCTTAGACCGGATACCATCACAACCTATAACAATCTGCCAAAGACACATCAAATCAGCTAAGGCATATATGTATAATAAACACATAACCATTAGGCTCAGAGATCAAGAGAAGAATACATTTGCAAGCAACCGAGTTCCATCTCCAAGTTGAAGGAGAGTGTCACCATTGACATTGCTTTGTATACTTTCTAGTTTTGAGGAAAACCGAATGGTTTGCGGAGGAAGCTGGCTTGCAAGTGTTTTCAAGAGTACTCGTCTCTCCACCGCCCGAACTTCTTGGCTATACAAGACATATGCTATGGTTCGTTAGACACACGATGAATCAAATGGAATGCTCAAGTTATGAAGTAGCAGCTACCTTTGATCATTGTCTTTAAATTGGAAAGAACGAAGCTCTCTTCCATCTTCCTTCTTCACTACCACCCTGCACAGCTTATCACACTCAGTTTAAAACCAAGAACACACATTTTAACAAGACCGAATCATCTTTTTGATATGGGCAGAAAGAAACTGTACCCTTGGATTTCAAGAAACTGTTTTCGGAGTTGAGGTCCAACGGAGATGTCGTCAAGAACACGCCACCCATTCTTGGATAGCGTCAGAGATGTTCCTCCGGTCCGAAGCGACTCTGCCTGCTCCAACACCACCGACCGGATTCCAAGCCTAACCAAAATCTCCGGTTAAGTGGCTCTGAGTTTCTAATAAAATTCAAAGAACCGGTTTCTGTAGTTTAAATACTTACCGGTGAAGAGCAACGGCGGTGGCAAGTCCGCCAATCCCGCCGCCAACAATCACTACTTTCTCCTCTCGGTCAGCACCGCTTGTTTCGGCTCTGGTACTCATTGCTAAACAAACCGGTTTTGTTCCTGTTCGAACCGGAAACCATCTCTTGCTTCTGGCCAAGAAGGATTGGAGAGGATAGATCGGACGCACAAGAGACATAGCCACGTTACAAGTGGATTCGCTTTTTTTTTTTAATGTATAAAATCAATTTTAATTTGTAGCCATCGTCTAGACTTTATAGACTTTATATTATTTTAGAACATCAACAGTTGTCGTTGAAAATTCTTTGATACATTGTTATTTTTCTTAGGGATATTTAGATTCAGCATATGTATTTAGAGTCAATGTTGGGTCCTTGAGGCCACAAATTTATAATTCAGAAAATGTGTCTATGCCCTTTAATTATTGGTCTATTTGTTCTTGGTGGCGTCAACTCCAATTTCAACTTGATGCGTACACAATATTTTAAAATAGTCCGTACCAAAAGAAAGTTCAATAACCAACAAGGCAACTATGTTGTAGTCTTTTGACTTTGAAATCTTAGAAGTTTCCACTTACCCATTTTTAGAAGTGTTAAATAGCACTGTTATCTAAATTCTTTTTCATTTACATCATTAAACTCTATGCAAAAGAAAAAAATACATTATGAATTCCCATAATTAATATGCATTATTTATAAGTGTGGACATCCAATACACTTATTAGATGAACCATGATATCAAGTACCAAAACAAAGACAAGTATAACACTAATTATGTGATAATCACATTTATAAATATTGGTTTATTTAGTCAAAGTTCCACATCTAAAACAGAATAAAATATATAATTACGTAAGGAAACATGATATGCAACATGTTTTGTTCACTCATGAAACACATTGTCCTTTGACCAACATATGACTGACTGAAAATCACACCAGATTGAGGCCTTTTGTTCTTCAAACCCCATGTCAACAGATGCAGAATTCGTGGCGGCATCATTCTGTGCATGTAAATGTGTTTGTATGAGAAGGATTTTGGAGGAATTGGGTCTGATGGAAGCAAGCAATACCAAAATCTTGTGTGATAACATTTCAACAATCAAGTTGCTTAAAAATCCAGTGTTGCACGGTCGGAATAAGTATACTAAAATATTATATATATTATGTGTAAATGTTTATGTAAAACTTAACAAATAAATTGAAATTGAGAGAAAAAAAATATTATTTGTTAACAATATGACGTAACATCCACGTCGTTGCATACATCTATGTCATCAAAACTTAATAGTTTATTGCTATTGTGGTGACAAATGTACGTATGATTTTGCACAAATTCATAAGCGGATAATAAATTTTAATTAATGCTTTGTTATGAATTAGCACGATGCTATATTTGATGTATGAATCGAACATAATTTTGTAGTTGGCGTATGAAAAAAGCCTATTTCCCGTTCAACATCCAGTGATGATTTTTCTATAGCAAAAAAAAGCATCCGGTGATGTTTTTTTGGACTCTTTTGTTGGTTTTTTTCTTTTTTTAATTATTGTATTATATAATCATTTATTATATGATTGGTATTAGTCCGTGTTAAAAAAATCGCTAGACGCTAGTTTGGCGGTGAGGGTGGGCCTAGCGCATAGCAAAAAAATCAGAGATTAAACGGAGATTAATCGGAGATTAGTTTTAGGGCTATTTACTGTTTTTAAAATATATTAATCCATTATAATTAAGAAATTTATATAATATTGTTTTTAAAATAACATGAAATGCATAAAAATAAGATTTTAAGCTTATATTTATTATTTGTATACAAATTACGAATATAAGTAGGACGTTTTGAATTTTGGATCCAAAAAAAAAAATAGTAAAAAAAAAAAAAAAAAATTGAGCTAGGCGCCGTCTAGGCGGACAAAAAATTGGACCAGCGATTTTTCTTACCGGTTTGGACAAAATCGCCGCGGTTCCCCTCCGATCAGCACCTAGGCGACCAATTTTTAGAACAGGGGTATTAGTTAACTTATATATTAACATATTTTATTCATCATGATAATTTAATTTTCACAGACTTATATGTTATTTATTTTTTTAGTCTTTTTCATATATTCTTAAACTAACCAATCAATTATTTATTTGTTCAGTCTATTGTGATATTCCTCCTCACATTTCAGCTTTTTGCTCAAAAAGCTTAGAGTGGATGCAACTCAACCATAATGCTCTTGATGTTAATATGTTGGTGCGTGTGAGAAGTACAGAGTTTCGCTTGCTTAAACTGGACGGTGTATGTGTACCATTTGTTATCCTGCTGACATAGTCTTTTATACATTTTTGTATTCCTCCCTCTGTTCATTTTTAGTTGGTGGTTTAAGAGAATATTTTTGTTCTAAATAAGATGATGTTTTTAGTTTTTAATGTAATATTAATTAGTATTTTTAGTTTTGTCTATTTATATTCTCCAGATTATTTTTCTATTGATTAGATAATAAATAATTGTTTAGTTTATAGATAAACAATAATTAAATGCTATTTTAGTCGATGTACAAAAACAGTGAAGTATTTTCAGCTTTTATCTCTACTGATTTAGTTTTTTCATACATAAATCGTTGAATTTAAGGGATTTCGAGCTGGGATTTGATGAAAATGACAAAAAAAAAATTGTAGCCTACTATTGTAGGTCACTATTACCTTCCTGTCATTTTCATCTCTTTGAACTAATCTCTCATGTAAGATAATACTTTAGGAACACTATTTTTTTGTGTGTTTACTTACCATTTGTTTGGCTTCTTTTTCTCTTAGTTGCACCGCATGATTCAAATCCTATGCTGGGTGGAAGTCTCTCTTTGCATAGAGAATGACTCGGGGAATTTTGTTGTGAGAAGAAGAAATTCGTTTGATCTGGAAAAAAACTCAATGCGCTTATCTCCATTCTTCCATCTCCATTCTTCCATCATTTGACCCACTTTTGGCGGTTTGGCCCATCACCATGATCTCTAGAGCATTTGAGCTTGCATCAACTTCTGTTAAGACCTTACTTCATTGTGTGGTTAAGAGTTTGTGTTGAGTGTGGTAGGGTTGGTGGGACAGCTGAGAAGATGGCAGCGATGAAAGCTTTAGTTGACGCAGAGTTAATCTTGGAGTAAGACTCTATCACTATTTAAATAATTAATGTAATTGAGCTATGATTGATTAAATAGGTCAAATGGATCTACTTCATTCCATAGTTACATTTGACCGTTTAATATAAAACTTCCTGAGTATCTAAGTCACAATTTGAGTCATTGGTAATATTTGTAACCCAATTTCAATCATCATGAGATGTCTAATGGATTGAAAGATATAAATCTCTAAGAGCAAGTCCAATGGTAGAGTCCTTAAAAAACTCTTAAATATTTTTCTAATTATAAATTGTGACAATTTCAAAATAAGAGTTTGTGTTTAATCCTTAAAATTTTCATTGTCCAATGGTACAGTCCTTAAGTGGGTTTCTTAAATAAAAAATATTATTTTTAAAAAGAATATTATAAACATTTTTATTTGATAAAACTTACTAATTATTACAATTTCCTAATCGGAACTAAACTCTCTGATTTGACCACTTGAATCTCTGATTTGGTGTACCAAAGTGGTACCAATATGATGAATTGAAATCGCCGGTGGTGAACAGCTTCGATGGAGATGACGATAACGACAGACAAAGACGAATTTCCGATTGCATGTTTTTCATTTCAACGGGTCGAGTGTCGAAGAGATTGGTTCCGCCGTTGGCCTTCGAGAAAGAGAGAGAAAAAAAATTGTCGCAGAATAAAAAATACAAGAGATAATTTTTTTTTTGGCTATTATATTTTTTCTTCACCCAATCACAAGACAACACAACAAAGATCCTTAACAAATCTTAGACCATCCTCATTGATGGGCTCTTAAGATTTGTCCTAAGAGCCCATTAATGAGGATGATCTTAAAACTCTAAGCTAAGAAACGATTCTTAGTCTAATATCTTGTTTTCATTAATTTTAATTATTTTTTAAGCTAAGAATTTCACTAAGAAACATCATTGGACTTGCTCTAAGAGCATCCATAAGACCATGATTAATGGGAGGTTCTTAAGAAAATCTTAAGCTGGATCTTAGCAATAAATGATTAAAATTAAATCCCAATTAAGCCATTATTGTTAAGAGAGGTTCTTAGCTAAACAACAAAAACATAGTTAAGATCCATATTTTACAAATATATTACTTAAATACTAGAAATTAACCCGCGGTACACCGCGGGCCTATAATTTTACTAAATAATAAAATTAATTTTTCTTTTTCAGGTTGAGAGCCCGCGGTATACCGCTGGAAATATTAATTTTACATGTTGTGACATTGATTTTAATATTGTATATTTTTAGTAGAGAAAATTGTGTAGTGTATGAAAAAATGATAAATTATTTACAATAAAAATCTGTCATATTAATTATGATTTAGCGGTAAAATGGAATTTTGAAATCTTGGTAATGAATGTTTTAGGGGTAAGGAAAATACTATGTTTTTAGGAAAACATATACTTAGACACGCCGCACGCGTTTGTATTAAACAGATATCAAAACAAAAAAAAGAATTAAAATCGTAGAAACATTACATCATTAATAGAAAATAGAGAATACACAATGAAAATAAAAATTAGATTGCTCAAAAACTGAAGCATAGATGCTGAGATATCAAAACAAAAAAAAGAATTAAAATCGTAGAAACATAACATCATTAATAGAAAATAGAGAATACACAATGAAAATAAAAATTAGATTGCTCAAAAACTGAAGCATAGATGCTGAGAGAAGTTTGTGTGGATGAATGAAAAATGATTTGCCGAATAGCAGAGCCTATATTTATAATGTTTAGAATTATGTTGCTTTATTAGGGTTTTAAGAAAAGCATATTCTGCAAAATATTCTATAAGTAATTAGCGTAGATATGCTATAGTTAATCGCATCAGAATATCTAAACGAAATTAATTTTAGTTTCTATCGTTAAAGATCTTAACATATTTGATTTGCGCTTTCGCGATTTTTATAATTTTGCAGTAAACCAACTTTATGACTTTCCATAGTTCAAGATCGTAGAGAATATTTGATGGTTAATCTGATAATTAGAAGATTCTATATATCTTAGCGAAATTTTTTCCCTAAATAACGAAGAAGTTACCATATACTTCGGAATTGTATTTGTTGATTTAATATTCGATTTTAAATTGAATAATTTACATAGAAGTTACCATACAAGTCCGGTAAGGTTTCTTATTTTTGCTGTCAAAAATACTCATATATCCGATTATCATTATTTCTATCAAAAATACCCAATTTATTAACTACATTTATTTTATAATAATTCAAAATAATATAAATATAACATCAAATAAAAGTGAAATGAGAATTATATAATTCTGTTTAAATTAGATCGAGAGATTGTAAAAAATTAGCTCAAATTTGTTAATTAGCATTAACTCATCATATTTTATATCTTTTTCTGTAAAAATCGTGAAGAATATATGTCATAAATAAAGAGTTTAGATATAGAAATAGTTAAAAATATAGATATTTTTAGAGTTTATAAATTAATTTCGTTTTGGATATTGCCAAAATTTAAAGAAAGATCCAATTGAATATTTTTGGTCACAAAAAAAACCTACCCATAAAGATTAAAATTTAGGATTATAGTTATTTCAAATTTTAAACTAATTTAGATTTTATAATTTTCATAAATACGAAAATAATTTGTTCACCTATATCAGAAAATATAACTAAAACAAATTACGTAATATTATATAAAAATTTAAAATAAATAACTATTTTCATTTTATGGTGTAGACAAATTATTATTAGTATTTATGTAATTTAGTTTCAAAAATAATTTAGAAAAATAACAAACATTAAATTTTGGAACAAAACAAATTATTTTCGTAAGAATTTGTCCCCAAATTAATATTTACAAAATATTTATTTTAATCACATATTCTTTCTATATAAAAATAAGTAGTTAGATAATTATGGTTAGAAGTAGTTAAGGTAAATAAAAAATATGGTTAGTTTAGAGATATCATATATATATATATATATATAACAAATAAGATTATTTACCATTAAAATAGGTAACTTATTTGTTTTGTTATACGCATATTCTCTTAAAGAAAATTAATAATTAGGTGTAGGGAGAAGTTAAGGAAATTAACAAATATGAATTAATAAAGGAATTAATTTCGTTTTAATATTGCCATAAATTTTTTCAGTTTGAAATTAATAAAGGCTTCATTTATTAGTTTGAAATTAAGACAACATCCCTAAAATTGCTTATCCAAGATCCGAATAGACTAAAACCGGGTCAAACCCGGATCCAAAAGAATTAAAGCAAAAAAGTACTGTAAAAATGTATATGTAGATTCCTAAGATTTATTTCTAAAACACTATGGATAATCATGCTCTAATTAACGTTGGTATGTTATGAGATTTCTTAAAAGACAAAAAATAATAATATTTTAATTTTGCAATTATAATCTAATATTTTAATATAAATAGACCATTGATAGAGCTGTACGTGTTTTTAGTTTGTAAGAATGTATCTTATGCAAGAGCTTTTAGACATTCTCTCTTTTTCTTCTCTTAACTGTATATTATTTTTTTTTTATTTTTATTGCTAAGAGTTATACTAAGAAATGCACGTTAATGGTGCTCTTAACTTTATATATAAAGTGACTCAGACAAAACATGTTAGCTGAAAATCTTGTATAAAATGGAGATTCTCTGGTTCAAATAACTCTGTCATTGATGTATTTTGTTTTTGTTCACTAAATAATTAGAAGATTGTGGATCCCACTCTACTATCTTTATATGCCGGCCATTATTTTAACTTTTAACTTACCTTTCCTCTCAACTCTCAAGCTTGGTAAGGGCCACATCAACGTTAGGTAGGAGCCCTGTTCTAAAAATCCCCGCCTAGCCCCGATTACTCCCCGCTTAATCGCTAGGTCCACCCTATCCGCCTCGATTAATGACTAATCCCCTAAAAAATCAGTAACCCGATTATTCTCCGCCTAATCCGATTACTTCCCGCCTAATCCGATTATTTTCCACCTTATCTTATATACCCCGATTATTTTTTAGATTGCAAGTATAAAAAAACCTTTTATTTTTGTTATTCAATCATTTGAATGGGGAGTTTGTGATGTTTTACAATAACTTGTGTTCAAATTTTAATAAAAATCATAAATTTGTAATAAAAATCATAAATTTTTACAATATTGGATTAATATATTTTAAAAATATTAAAATAACCCTAAAACTAATCCCCGATTAATCCCCGATTTTAATCCGATTTTCCGATTAATCGCTAGGCCCATGCCGACCGCCCGACTAGCGCCTAGCGATTTTTCAAACAAGGGGTAGGAGCAATAATCATCACATATGGCAAAAGTCAACATTAAGGTAACTAGTTGTCTTCTTTGATATGTAGATTGAAGAGGAAAGATCAAAAGCTATCTGTTGTTGTTAGAGATGAGGAATACAGAGCTCATCTTCATACCAACACCAACCGTTGGTCATCTTGTTCCGTTTCTTGAATTTGCTAGGCGTCTCATTGAGCAAGATGATAGGATCCGTATCACAATCCTCTTGATGAAGCTACAAGGTCAGTCACATCTAGACACTTATGTTAAATCTATTGCCTCTTCTCAGCCCTTTGTTAGATTCATTGATGTCCCTGAGTTAGAGGAGAAACCTACACTTGGTGGTACACAGTCTGTGGAAGCTTATGTATATGATGTTATTGAGAAGAATATCCCTCTTGTGAGAAATATAGTCATGGATATTTTATCTTCTCTTGCATTGGATGGAGTTAAGGTCAAGGGATTTGTTGCTGATTTTTTCTGTCTCCCCATGATTGACGTTGCAAAAGAGGTAATAAGTCTTCCTTTCTATGTGTTCTTGACTACAAATTCCGGGTTCTTAGCGATGATGAAGTATCTAGCAGATCGACATAGTAAAGATACATCGGTTTTTGTAAGAAACTCCGAGGAAATGTTGTCGATTCCTGGCTTTGTAAACCCTGTCCCAGCCAATGTTCTGCCATCAGCTCTGTTTGTTGAAGACGGTTATGATGCTTACATTAAACTGGCTATATTGTTTACAAAGGCTAATGGAATCTTAGTGAATTCTTCCTTTGATATTGAGCCTTACTCTGTCAATCACTTTCTTGATGAACGGAGTTACCCTTCTGTTTATGCTGTTGGCCCCGTATTTGACTTGAAGGCCCAGCCTCATCCAGAGCAGGACCTGGCCCGTCGTGACGAGTTGATGAAATGGCTTGATGATCAGCCCGATGCATCGGTTGTATTCCTTTGTTTTGGGAGTATGGGCAGGTTAAGAGGTCCTCTAGTGAAGGAAATAGCTCATGCACTTGAGCTCTGTCAGTACAGATTCCTCTGGTCACTTCGTACTGAAGAAATGACGAACGATGATCTTTTTCCCGAGGGATTCCTTGACCGTGTCAGTGGACGTGGAATGATATGCGGTTGGTCTCCTCAGGTGGAAATACTGGCCCATAAAGCAGTTGGAGGTTTTGTGTCTCATTGTGGATGGAACTCAATAGTAGAGAGTTTATGGTTTGGTGTGCCAATTGTGACATGGCCAATGTATGCAGAGCAACAGCTCAATGCGTTTCTGATGGTTAAGGAACTAGAGCTCGCAGTGGAGCTGAAGCTTGATTACAGGGTATATAGCGATGAAATAGTAAATGCAAACGAGATAGAGACTGCTATTCGTTGTGTAATGAGCAAGGATAATAATGTTGTGAGGAAGAGAGTGATGGATATCTCGAAGATGGCGCGGAAAGCTACGTGTAATGGTGGATCTTCGTACTCGGCTATTGAGAAATTCATACATGACGTGATAGGAATTAAGCCCAAGCCTTTTCTTGTCCAATAAGTTACTTTATACTAAAACTTGTTCTTGAAACATCTGCGAATGAATCTTGCTGAGATTTGATTGTTTTTATTGTTGAATCAATCTTTGTTTTTATTGCAATATCTTAGAACAACACACCAAAGGAACACTTTATCAATTAAAAAAACATTCGAAGAAAATCTGAAGTTTGTGTAACTAACTATAGATAGGCAAAACATAGCAGAAACAAAAAAAAACATATCGTATTTATTCATCCTAGGCTCCTAGCATGTCGTATTCCACGGATCACCTATTTATAGATACAGTGATTGTAACTAGGGTCTGTGGAAGTGAGCATGGCACTATTTGGGAAAAAGAAAAAGCATGAATTGTTGGTTCGGCCATGTTGTTCGTAGTAAGAATTCATCAAATATGAAGCATGGCTTATTGTAGTATTGGGCTTAAAACATGCTCCACTTGGTAGGATTGGTCTACAATCAACTCCATTAGCGCACGCAAAACCGATATTATCTTCTAGCTGCTCATCCTTCGCCGTCTGCATTGATACACACCATTGTTTTGAGCTTGCTACGGGAAGGTGGTTGATCATGATGGATGATAGGAGGATTACTATGAACGTCAACAACGGCGACACGTTTGCCATCTCTTAATAATGAATAAAAATTCTCTAAGATTTTTTTTGTATAATGAAGTTATGATGATTTTTTAATGAGAGAGGTGATTAATTATACGTATTTATAGAAGAGTAATGTACGAAGGAAAGGAAATATGAATGCATGAAAGAAATTTACAAAAAAAAATAGTAATGTATGAAGAAAAGGAAAGATGAAAAATACGGAAATTGTTTTTATAAAAATAGTAATGTTTACGAAGAAAAGGAAAGATGAATATATGAAGGTGATACATTATTATACATAAATGAGGAAGATTGTAGGAGTGTCGGTCTACCAAATCTTCTGAATGTACTCTAATAAAATGGAATGATAATATTCAAGATTTATATTTCAGAGTGTTGTCAATTGAAATCTTTTTTTTTTTTTTGTCAAATATCTATGGAAATCTTCCTTTTACATGTATGAATGATAATATTCCTTTTTTTTTTTTTGTTTTTTTTTACTCTAATAAATTCAAATGACATTCAAAAAATAGTTATGTTAGATATCTATGTGAGAATTGTAAAATATAAATCTTCCCTTTTTTCTTTTGGGTCAAATAAATCTTCCCTTTACATATATGAATACTCTAGTATTATTGGTATATCAAATCTTTATTTTCCTTTATATATATACGAATATTCTAATAAATTAATTTTCCTTTAGTTTGTGGGCAGCAGAACCTCGATGAGTTGGATCGAGATTTCCAAAAATTGACGGGCAGGACCAAACCAAAGTAAGGCCAGGTCCACTCGCTTTTTAACATGTTCGTCATTTGTGTTGACATGATACGCCGTCACTAATACGATCATTGACGCGTCATAATCTGACAGAAACGGGTTACGGAATCATTTGAAGTCATTTCCATTTTATAACCCAAAGAAACACAAACTCTTTCACAATCTTCCGATGTGGGATTATTCAACTTTAGTTTCAATTGCCGACGTTGGATCCATGTACGTGGCGTGATCTCAAAGTAAAGAAGAGTGGTCGGATTAATCTCAAGGAAAAGCTTTTTTGACATGCAAAGAAATCTGTTGAGAGACTGAGAAAGAAAGATTGATATAATCTTCATCCACAATTCCTATCGATGAAAAAGTGAGAGTTCATTATTTGAACATATCTTGTGATTTTCAAAATTATATAATTGGTAGAAAAAAACATTCGAATTGTGGAATCTTTCACTTTACCACATATTTTGTGGATATCAAAACAAATTACATATTTCTAAAAACCAAAGACACAACCACCATAACTAGAGTTTATAATTATGCCGGTATTGCCTAAAATGAAATTGCATGCTTCATATATTAGTGCGACCATGGCTCTGATCGGTGATTTTCGAAATGGTCAGAATACTCTTCGAAATGGGGTTGCTAGCGGTGATTTTCAAGCTGGTTAGCAACAAGCATTTGTTTTCTCAGAAAATTGAACAAGAAATTTGTGTCGAAAGGGTTCATAACATAAGAGGGTTATGAGGCGTGTTATGTTAGTTCTAGACATATGAGAACAAACAAATGGTTATAATAAGTTCAATCTCAAGTAGAAAGTTTCAGAGCTCCTAAAGTTAAGTTGGCTACAACTACAAGTTCCTATGGACCTACGGTCACTCCGGACAGTAGCAACCAACACAAGAGGGGCTTGATGATCTTATGCCTAAGATATGCTCAACATCAAAGATGACTGCATTCTCATAGAATAATTCACATGTGCATTTTCATAATAATACAAGTGGACAAGTGGTATATAAATACAAATATACAATTACTTGCTTGTGTCTGTCTCACCACGTATACCCTCGACCATTTCTTATTGTTATTTTTTATTTTGTTGAGGTAATACAAAACCCTTAGACTTTAGCTTCTTCTTCTTTAGACTTTTATGTTTCTTGGAAAAATCGCCAGAAGAATGGAGGAGAAGCAAGAAGCAGAGCTCATATTCATCCCATTTCCAATCCCTGGACACATGCTTGCCACAATCGAACTCGCGAAACGTCTCATCAATCACAAACCTCGTCGGATCCATACCATCACCATCCTCCATTGGAGCTTACCTTTTCTTCCTCAATCTGACACTATCTCCTTCCTCAAATCCCTAATCCAAACAGAGTCTCGTATCCGTCTTGTTACCTTACCCGACGTCCCAAACCCTCCACCAATGGAACTTTTCGTGAAAGCTTCAGAATCTTACATTCTTGAATTCGTCAAGAAAATGGTTCCTTTGGTTAAAAAAGCTCTCTCCACTCTCTTGTCTTCTCGTGATGAATCGGATTCAGTTCGTGTCGCCGGATTAGTTCTCGATTTCTTCTGTGTCCCTTTGATTGATGTTGGAAACGAGTTTAATCTCCCTTCTTACATTTTCTTGACGTGTAGCGCAAGTTTCTTGGGTATGATGAAGTATCTCCCAGAGAGACACCGCAAAATCAAACCGGAATTTAACCGGAGCTCTGGCGAGGAAACAATACCGGTTCCTGGCTTTGTTAACTCCGTTCCGGTTAAGGTTTTGCCACCGGGTCTGTTCATGAGAGAGTCTTACGAAGCTTGGGTCGAAATGGCGGAGAGGTTCCCTGAAGCCAAGGGTATCTTGGTAAATTCTTTCGAATCTCTAGAACGTAACGCTTTTGATTATTTCGATCATCGTCCGGATAATTACCCACCCGTTTACCCAATCGGGCCGATTCTATGCTCCAACGATCGTCCGAATTTGGATTTATCGGAACGAGATCGGATCTTGAGATGGCTCGATGACCAACCCGAGTCATCAGTTGTGTTCTTCTGCTTCGGGAGCTTGAAGAGTCTCGCTGCTTCTCAGATTAAAGAGATCGCTCAAGCCATTGAACTCGTCGGATTCAGATTCCTCTGGTCGATTCGAACAGATCCGAACGAGTACCCGAACCCGTACGAGATTTTACCGGACGGGTTTATGAACCGGGTCATGGGTTTGGGTCTTGTTTGTGGTTGGGCTCCTCAAGTTGAAATTCTGGCCCATAAAGCAATCGGAGGGTTCGTGTCACACTGCGGTTGGAACTCGATTTTGGAGAGTTTGCGTTTCGGGGTTCCAATCGCCACGTGGCCAATGTACGCAGAACAACAACTAAACGCGTTCACGATTGTGAAGGAGCTTGGTTTGGCGTTGGAGATGCGGTTGGATTACGTGTGGGCTCATGGAGAAATCGTGAAAGCTGATGAAATCGCAGGTGCCGTACGATCTTTAATGGACGGTGAGGATGTGCGGAGGAGGAAACTGAAGGAGATTGCGGAGGCGGCAAAAGAGGCTGTGATGGACGGTGGATCTTCGTTTGTTGCGGTTAAAAGATTCATAGATGGGCTTTGACCGGTGATGGTTTTTAAGTTTAAACACCACATAAACGTTATCGTTTTGTGTAATTTAAGCTTGCCTCTAGTCGAGTGTTATTAATGGAATTGGGCCCGTAGAATGACATGTCTTCACCAAAATCTTCATATGTATCTTCTAATTAGCCGCGGTCCAATCACTCATTTGTTGTTTATATTCATGTTCATGTTCACTCATTTGTTGTATCTAAATAGCTCATTTTGCATTTTGTATGTATAACTTGTGAAAATATGAAAATAACCAAAATACAAAAGACATCAAACAGGATAATAGAACATTATAACTTATAAGAAAAACATAAAATCGAGAGACTTGCTAAACCTATAGAATTGGAGGTTTTACAGATTTGCTAAACCTATAGAATTGAAACCTAGAATGAATAATATGGGTAGAATTCATCGCAGCCATAGAGTCATTAACTTGCGGAAATGACGGTTCTTTCTTCTCGGTGTAATGATGTTCTTGATGTCGCGGTCAATGCACTTGAAGATTGATTGTGGTGTGATTGAGAGCTGGTTGTGCAATATATTGTTGCGCTGTTTCCAGACATGGAAAACAGAGGCATGTGATGCAATTTTGCTTAGAATGGTAGGAGCTGCCTTTGAGATACATTAGTTTTTATGCTTACTGACTACTGAGGAGTGAGGAGGCCATTGGGTTGCCCACATTAATTGATAAAATGAAAACAAAACAATTGTTTTCCTATATGTATGATTAAATCTCTACTTTCCTAACATTGTGTATTACTAGGAAGCATGCAACGCAAACACCAACAAACAAACAAAAACACCAACAAACAGAATTTAAATATAAAGTTGATGCGACATACACACTATATCAATTAGTAGACAGTGATGAAGAGATGTGAAACAAAGAGATAATTATGTTTTTCTCTTCGTCAAAAAATAAAATTTGGCTACAGTTACATTAAAACAAAATTTTCTTTGCCTCTAATCACTCTTGCAAATTAGTATGAGTCTGCAATATTAAGACCATTTAATGAATTTTTATGAAATTTTTTCATAATAATATTCTGTTGAAACTAATCCTTGTGTGGTAGCAGAGCCGTCCATGACTACAAGCGAGTCAAGCACCAGCTTGCGGCCGCACAAGGGTTTATTAATATAATCGGGGTTTATTAATATAATCGGCCCCATTTTTAGTGAAAAGTCATCAGCTCTGCTGGTTAATGTGTGTTGTTTTAAGAGTTGAGGCTCGTGGTTCGATTCCCTCTAAATATATTTTTAAGATTTTTTTTTTTTTGGATAAATCAACAATTAGGTGGCCCAAAAATTATTTTTGCTTGCGGCCACCAAAACCCTAGGGACGGCTCTGTGTGGTAGTTATGTTCGCATAATTCTGCTGTATAATTTGTAGAAGAAAAAAGATTTTTTTATTTTATTTTGAGTTTTCCCTAATTAAAACATAGAAACGATTTACAAATTCAAGTATTGTTTTTTATATGTTTCAACTGTGTTTTAAAATCCACTCGAATGGCCTACAAAAGTAGCTAGATCTTGTAGTTAGCCAATAGAAAAAATGACACATGTTGTAGTGATCTGTTTAACGAAGTCACATAGGCATTAATTGATATGTACAATAATAATACATGTTGTATTTTTATTTCATTTATTGTAATTTAGTTTTGTCTGCATTTACAATAATTAAAATACATGTTGTGTTTAAATTTAATTATTTCCCTGTCTCTTACTAATATGTGAATAAAATACTCACTAATCATCAATGCATACAAAACAAACCTTTCGATCAACAACTGCGTTGCACAATCTCTGTTTCATTTTTATTTATTTTTGTCTGTATGTACAAGTATAATAAGACATGTTGTATTTAAATTTAACTATTTTCCTACCTCTATACTTGTATAAAATAGCCAACAATCATCAACACATACAAAACAAAACTTTCTCGACAACTCTTGCACACACTCTCTGTTTCATTTTTATTTTGTCTTCTCATATTGACTTTTTGAGTTTCTCTGAAAATTTCACGTAGTATGGGGATGCAAGAAGAAGCAGAGCTCGTCATCATCCCTTTCCCCTTCTCCGGGCACATTCTCGCAACCATCGAACTCGCGAAACGTCTCATAAGTCAAGACAATCCTCGGATCCACACCATCACCATCCTCTATTGGGGACTACCCTTTATTCCTCAAGCTGACACAATCGCTTTCCTCCAATCCCTAGTCAAAAATGAGTCTCGTATCCGTCTCGTTACGTTGCCCGAGGTCCAAAACCCTCCACCAATGGAACTCTTTGTGGAATTTGCTGAATCTTACATTCTTGAATACGTCAAGAAAATGATTCCCATTGTGAGAGATGGTCTCTCCACTCTCTTGTCTTCTCGCGATGAATCGGATTCAGTTCGTGTGGCTGGATTGGTTCTTGATTTCTTCTGCGTCCCTATGATCGATGTGGGAAACGAGTTTAATCTCCCTTCTTACATTTTCTTGACGTGTAGCGCAGGGTTCTTGGGTATGATGAAGTATCTTCCAGAGAGACACCGCAAAATCAAATCGGAATTTACCCGGAGCTCTAACGAGGAGTTAAACCCTATTCCTGGTTTTGTCAACTCTGTTCCAACTAAGGTTTTGCCGTCAGGTCTGTTCATGAAAGAGACTTACGAGCCTTGGGTCGTACTAGCCGAGAGATTTCCTGAAGCTAAGGGTATTTTGGTAAATTCCTACACATCTCTCGAGCCAAACGGTTTTAAATATTTCGATCGTTGTCCGGATAACTACCCAACCGTTTACCCAATCGGGCCGATTTTATGCTCCAACGACCGTCCGAATTTGGACTCATCGGAACGCGATCGGATCATAAGATGGCTCGATGACCAACCCGAGTCATCAGTCGTGTTCCTTTGTTTCGGGAGCTTGAAGAATCTCAGTGCTACTCAGATCAACGAGATCGCTCAAGCCTTAGAGCTCGTTGAATGCAAATTCATCTGGTCGTTCCGAACCAACCCGAAGGAGTACGCAAGCCCGTACGAGGCCTTACCAGACGGGTTCATGGACCGGGTCATGGATCAAGGCCTCGTTTGTGGTTGGGCTCCTCAAGTTGAAATTTTAGCTCATAAAGCTGTCGGAGGATTTGTATCGCACTGCGGTTGGAACTCGATATTAGAAAGTTTGGGTTTCGGCGTTCCAATCGCCACGTGGCCAATGTACGCAGAACAACAACTAAACGCGTTCACGATGGTGAAGGAACTTGGTTTAGCCTTGGAGATGCGGTTGGATTACGTGTCGGAAGATGGAGATATAGTGAAAGCTGATGAAATCGCAGGAACCATTAGATCTTTAATGGACGGTGTGGATGTGCCAAAGAGTAAAGTGAAGGAGATTGCTGAGGCGGGAAAAGAAGCTGTTCTGGACGGTGGATCTTCGTTTGTTGCGGTTAAAAGATTCATTGGTGACTTGATCGACGGCGTTTCTATAAGGAAGTAGAAACGCGGTCGTTTTCATGTAATTGGGGCTTGTGGCGACCATGTTTGATGTTTCTGCTCAGATTCCTTTTTCGTTGTGTGTTTTTTTTAATCGTAATTATCATTTTATTTTAACAATAGAAGACTGAGTCTTCTTACAACTTTCACAATTCCATGTGTTTGTAAGGAATCATTGCTTCCATGTTGTTGTATCTTCTATTTAAGGATCAAAAAGACTTTATCTTCTCTTAAAACTTAAAAGTGTACCATATTAAACTAAACTCTAATTAGGTTGGCGAGATGTGATCGAAAACACGATAATAAATTAATAAAACACACTCAAAAGTCAAAATTAAAGATTCCAACCACTAAAAAATGTACAATCGAAATATATTAGTCTTTGTTGTTACGTAAGCCCCCGTTGGAATCGTTCAAGTTGATTGATTAAAAAATGAAAATATAATATTATCTTTTTGTCAACGAAAACATAATGTTTTCTATGATTATATATGTTTAAATTTCTACTTTCCCACCATTGTGTTACACAACCCATCAAATTTCTACAAATTGGTGTATTTATAAGAAGCATGCAATGAAAACAACAAAAAAATGCTAAAAATCTAAGAATTGAAACATAAAGTGAGTGCGACACAACATGAAACATAAACTCTGATGGAAAGTGAAAATCATACTTTCCACTTTACAAAATTATATATTCTGCAATTAAAAGTGTATCAGACTCTCTCAGACTAAAATTTAATTAAAGATTCTAAATACCTAAAGATATATGATCGAAATATATCAGTCTTTGTGGTTTGCCCAGCCCAAGTTGAGTGCGACACAATATCAACTCGAAGATACTAATTATAAAGAGAGGTGATGCAATCATGTTTTCCTCTTCTTTTAAAAAATGAGATTGACAACAAAAGGATATGTATAAAAATTTGTCTACCGTTGGATTAACACCAAAAATTAAACAAAATTTGCCTCTAGTGACTTATAAAGACCATTTGGTGAATTTAGTGAGATATTGTCATAACAATATTCATAAGAATTTTTTAATTATTTTTTTGAACAAAATTCATAAGAATTTTACTATATAGTTTTGTAGAGAAAAAGTAGGAAGAGAGAGTCACAAAATGGCTATCTTCTCCACAGCACAACCACTCTCTCTGCCACGTCATCCAAACTTCTCCAATCCGAATCAACCAACTACCAATAACGAACGTTCCCGCCACACTATTTCTTTGATCGACCGATGTTCGTCTCTCCGACAACTGAAGCAAACCCATGCTCACATGATCCGTACAGGTATGTTTTCCGATCCTTACTCAGCTAGCAAGCTATTCGCAATCGCGGCGCTCTCTTCCTTCGCGAGCCTCGAGTATGCACGCAAGGTGTTTGATGAAATTCCTCAACCAAATTCTTTCACTTGGAATACTCTTATTCGTGCTTATGCTTCTGGACCAGACCCTGTTTGTAGCATCTGGGCTTTCTTGGATATGGTTTCGTCGGAGAGTCAGTGTTATCCGAATAAGTACACTTTCCCTTTCCTCATTAAGGCAGCTGCAGAAGTTTCGTCTTTGTCTTTGGGTCAATCTCTTCATGGGATGGCGATTAAGTCAGCTGTTGGAAGTGATGTTTTTGTTGCGAATTCTTTGATACATTGTTATTTCTCTTGCGGGGATTTAGATTCGGCTTGTAAAGTGTTTACTACAATCAAAGAAAAAGACGTTGTTTCGTGGAATTCGATGATTAATGGGTTTGTGCAAAAGGGTTCTCCAGATAAGGCTTTGGAGCTTTTTAAGAAGATGGAGTCAGAAGATGTTAAGGCAAGTCATGTGACAATGGTTGGTGTCTTATCTGCTTGTGCAAAGATACGGGATTTAGAGTTTGGGAGGCGGGTCTGCTCTTATATCGAAGAAAACAGGGTTAACGTGAACTTGACGTTGGCTAATGCGATGCTTGATATGTACACAAAGTGTGGAAGCATAGAGGACGCAAAAAGGCTGTTCGATGCAATGGAGGAGAAAGATAACGTCACATGGACAACAATGCTTGATGGGTATGCTATTTCAGAAGACTATGAAGCAGCTAGAGAGGTTCTTAACGCTATGCCTAAGAAAGACATTGTTGCTTGGAATGCTCTTATATCCGCTTATGAGCAGAATGGTAAACCTAATGAGGCACTGTTAGTGTTCCATGAGCTGCAACTTCAGAAGAACATAAAGCTGAACCAGATCACACTGGTAAGTACTTTATCAGCTTGTGCCCAGGTAGGGGCACTGGAATTAGGTAGATGGATCCATAGCTACATCAAAAAGAACGGCATTAAGATGAATTTTTATGTTACAAGCGCACTGATTCATATGTATTCGAAATGCGGAGATCTTGAAAAGGCGCGTGAAGTGTTTAATTCTGTAGAGAAGAGAGATGTGTTTGTGTGGAGTGCAATGATTGGTGGCCTGGCAATGCACGGATGTGGAAGTGAGGCCGTTGATATGTTTTATAAAATGCAAGAGGCTAATGTAAAGCCTAATGGTGTGACATTCACCAATGTCTTCTGTGCTTGTAGCCATACCGGTTTAGTGGATGAGGCTGAGTCGTTATTTTACAAAATGGAATCGAGTTATGGTATTGTCCCCGAGGATAAGCATTATGCTTGCATAGTTGATGTTCTCGGCCGCTCGGGTTATCTGGAAAAAGCGGTGAAGTTCATAGAGGCGATGCCAATTCCTCCAAGCACTTCTGTCTGGGGAGCGCTTCTAGGAGCTTGTAAGATCCATGCCAATCTGAGTCTTGCTGAAATGGCTTGTACCCGTTTGCTTGAACTGGAACCTAGGAATGATGGCGCGCATGTGCTCCTATCAAACATATACGCTAAATCCGGGAAATGGGACAACGTTTCTGAGCTGAGAAAGCATATGAGAGTCACTGGACTGAAAAAAGAACCAGGATGCAGCTCAATTGAAATCGATGGCATGATTCATGAGTTTCTCTCTGGAGATAACGCTCACCCGATGTCTGAGAAGGTTTACGGGAAGTTACATGAGGTTATGGAGAAATTGAAATCAAATGGTTATGAGCCAGAGATGTCACATGTTCTGCAGATCATTGAAGAAGAAGAAATGAAAGAACAATCTCTGAATCTGCACAGCGAGAAGCTGGCGATTTGTTATGGACTGATATCAACGGAAGCTCCAAAGGCGATCAGAGTTATTAAGAATCTAAGAATGTGTGGAGATTGTCATGCAGTGGCTAAACTAATATCACAGCTCTACAATAGAGAGATAATAGTGAGGGACCGGTATCGGTTTCACCATTTCAGAAATGGGCAGTGTTCCTGTAATGATTTCTGGTGATATTTCAGATTTTACTAAAAGAAACTCAGTCAATTTTTGTATTTGTTACACCTTTTTGTTTATATTTGCTTCATCTCCAAATCAAGTATTGATATTGGCCTTATAGTAGAAGCAGATTAGGTTTCGTTAAATCTGATTGTGATTACTTTTACTGAAGAGTTATATATCTCACAACAACAAAAAAGAACTTGAGACCATGTTAGTGCAACAGCACAAAAAACCAGAAGATAGCTAAACAGAGAATGCATTTCAACAAGTCTCGTAAGAAATTTAGTACAAAGAGTGGCTGACTCTACATAAGGCTAACTCTGTAAGAGTATTCACATTTTTGCACAAAGGTAAAGAAAGACGAGTTACTCTACAAGGTGTCAGATATAACAGCTTCTGCTTCACCACTTTTGCTTCATATCAACAAGCTGCTAAAAGAGTAGATGTAATAAAAAGATCCTTCACCTGCAAGTTCATGAAAGTCTAACTAAGACTTGAGGCTCAAGAAACCGTTAAATAGTCCATACTCGTCAAAGATTAACATACCTTGGAACTGCAAACGAATCATCAAAACGTAACAGAGCGAAGCAGATCAATGGAAGGCGAGTTCACTGATTTAAGCACAATCGCCAATGAATCGACCTTCCCCCAAATCTCACCACCTTGACGTTTCTCCAACGCGATCTCTAGACACCAAACATCTTCCAAACCATGCAGGCTGGATTTAACAGAGCCCAAAATCACCAGCTTCCCGCCAAAATTCGCCATTTTACACTGATTATAACAGAAATCAGGCAAAACATATGCACCCTTCACAGGTCTCCAAACCAACTCATTCGGATCATATACCACTATTTGATGTCCCAACCTAGGATCAATACAATACAGCAAATCCTCGATCACACAACTGACTTTCCAATGCAACTTCAACTGAGTTTCCAATCCAATTGACTGCCATAAACCTTGTCTTGGTTCGTAAGCAAAACCAAACAGAGTATCCAAAATGTAAATCATTTCTTGCATCACCACACATGTCAAAAACCCTCCTCCTCTCAAACTAGAATTGTTATGGTCTGGATCAGGCACAGTACTCCATGTCCGATTCTCTATATCGAACACTTCGATCCAATGATCATTTAGCTTGGCGCAACCTCCGATCACATGAATCCTTCCGTCAATTACTCCTGCGGCTGCGTTGACGCGACGCCTCTTCATTCTTGGGAGAGAGATACACGTATGAAATCTCAAATCGATGATAAACACATTCGATGTGGGTTGATGTTGGTTGTTGTGTCCACCGATTACATACATATCGTATCCGATGGTGACAACAGCAGATCCATGATTCAGAGGAGGAAGTGAACCGATTTCGCTCAATCGTAAAGAGATATTTCTTGGAACGTTTCGATTGAGAATGTACAGTCTCAATCCGATCAAAGCGTAAAGAACCGGGTCGGTGAGTGCGAGGAGCAAGCGGCTGTGGTAGAGTCCTGGAGAAGATATGACGCGACGAAAGGCTTTGGAGAGGAGAGATAGCGACGGGTAATGACTACTCCTGACGAGTGCGACGGTACTTTCGATGAGTTCTTCTGGGATTTCTTGAGGAATCGGAGGAAGATTCTCTGCTTCTTCTTGTGGATTCTCTTCAGCTTGTTGCGGATTCTCGTTTTGGTTATCTTCTTTTTCTTGTTGCGCATTCTTGGTTGGATCGCCGCCATTAGAGCCATCGTCGGAAGTTTCAGAGATGAAAACCATCGCCGTGTGACGTCAGCAGCAACTAATTAACTGAAAAGTGAGCCTGAATTTGATATTTGAAAAAAATGCTCTTGTATTTATAAAAACAAAAAGACACTAACGACGCCGTATACGATGGTAAAATGGGGCCTTAAGGCCCAAACATGAAAATATGAATAATTAATTTGTTTATTTATCAAAAAAAAAAAAAACAAACTTGAATCGTTCTGATTTAATTTTCTTAATCACAATCACTTACGTAGTAATGTTTGTTTAACTGGCAGGTTAACATTGTTTATAATTACTCGCTTGAACATGATTCCACAGATGATCTTTTGACTTCAGTTTTTCATTGGCTCAATGTTCTTGAAGAGGATAAAGGACATTATACGTATTCTTGCATTAGGGTTTATTTAGTCTTGAACATTTCTTTGAACCATAATGCAAGAATATGTTATTCATTGAAATCCGACTTTGCTTTGAAGTAAACTTTTCCTGAAAGCAAACCTCAAGTTCCTGAACCCTAATACATATTTCCTAAGAACTCTTTAGCTTATTACTTGATACTCAAGTTCAGTTCTCTCTAATTTAGCACTAGTACTAAGTACTAACTCATTTCCAAATCAGTAAAACACTACAATTATTCATTTTAGTTCCTATTGATTCTTGATCAGAGTTACTTCTTTTGACATCCACAGCTATTTCATAGGAGAGTTGAAAAAGTTTGGTGTTATTAAGCAGAAATAAAAACACAAGGTTAAAAAACGGAATATAAAAAATTTCAGGGAGTGATTTAAAAAATGGTAAATAAGAATTGGAGGATGAATAACAAAACAAACAAACCAGATTACAAAATAAACCGGAAATCACACTAAACTCGGTATTAATTAAACCAAAAGCTGATTTTTGCCCATGTGATTCGTAATCGGTAACTTGTAATTTGAATTTTTGTTTTTAACGGACATAATGTTCAGATTAGGGGGGAAAAATCTAATTTCAATTCAAATCCAAATGGTCTAACGGAATAAGCCAGGGTATTTTCGTAACTTCGTATTAAGTGGCCTAACCACTACAAATAGAAATTTTGTTCCTCTCTTTCATTTCATCACCGACTCGAAAAAAGCTTCGTCTCCACGATTTCAAATTACTTTCGCGATCAAATTTATTCTGATCAGGAATCAATCTGTTTCGGATCCAGCCGGTGATGAATCCGATGGATGCGATCGCATTTTGGGAGAAAATCCTTCTCGCCGCCGTCAAGAGAAGCGTGTGATTGAATCAGAAAACCCTCCGATTACGCAAAAAGAATCAGGTATATAATTAACCCAGTTCTGATCGATTTTAAGTTTGTTTTTGATTCATCGATTGTTTCTTTTACTTCATAATTCTCTTCCGATTATTGAATCTGGGTTCGTTGCTTCAAATGTATCACAAATCCTTCTGATTATCACTATTCACTAACCCCTTTCGTCCGGGTTCTTTTTTTGGATCCATTTATAGTAATCTCTTAGCGATTTAGAAGAATCAGTGAATTTAGAAGTAGTGTGATGATGATGATCTTCAATTTGTCTCTTCCGATTATTGCTAGTTTTTTCTCTCGTTTCAACCATGGAGGTTTTTGAAAAACGTTGATTATTAACTGTAGTGTTTACTAATGATTTTTGTGATGTTTGTGATGATTTTTCTCTGTTTGGTGGTTCAGTTCTTTGGCTTAATTTCATAATAAATTTTGGTAATTCACAATTCTCATTGGGAATTATAGATTATTAACTGTAGTGTTTACTAATGATTTTTGTCTTATCTCCACTTCAATAGTTTACTTATGCAAAAGAGTTGGATTAGGATTTTTAAACATAATTAGATCTAATGAAGAAGGGTTAGATTAGGAGTTTAAACATGTCCCTAAGATATTACCTGATTCTTTAAATATGTTTGTCTATTTCTCCATTTCAGAGCTAATAACACTTCTCGTGAACATAAGATATAGTTAAACTATAAGATTCTGTATAGTTTAAAGTCTTCTGTATTTTATTCGCTCTATGTTACTCTATTAGTTGCTGACTTACTAATAAATGCCATTGCTTTCAAGTGCAGAGAACAAAAGGGAGACTATTTGCTAGCCAACACGTTTACTTCTAACAATGTATATTACCTGTTTAGAAAATCCGAGCAGAGCAGAGCAACCAAACATGGAGGATTCTGTATGTTTTTCAATTTTGGTTGTATGATCTTTTGAATTTAAATATCCGTTCAACGTTTAAGCTGCGTGTTATTAACAAGGTTTCTTTGGTTTCAGGAGCTTTCTTCAGTTGAAATGTAACTTTTGACAAAGGGTTTCAAGATGAAGGATTGTTTAGCTGCAAAGAAGATCATTCAGTTGCCAACAAAGGTACGTGTGGTTAAGTAGCTCTCTCTCTCCCACTTATCATGTCTCTTGCACTGTCTCAAAAACAGAGCATGAATCCACGAAAATCCACACTCAAACGAACAAAAAGAAAATCAAACACACAAAACTAATTTAAAGTCACAAAATCACAACACGAAATTCAAACACACAATCAAAAAACATAGCACACAACGTTCAAACGCATCAAGAAATAGAAAACAGAACATAAATCCACGAAAACCCACACGCGAACATACACAAAAAAAAAATTAAACACACAAACTTAAAACATAGCACACAACGTCCAAACGCAACATCAAGAAACAGAAAATAAACTTTCACATGAAACTTTTACATTTGATGGCTAGAACTTGCTTTGTGACTGTTCTTTAAACGAAATGCAAACGTGCTATATAGTTGAAAATGATTTCGTGTACATGAGGATGGTTTACAGTTTAAACCAGGTTTTCATACGAAAGAGCAAAAGTTTCAGATGCGTTTCAATATACTCATGAATGACAAGGTAATCTTGTTAAACCTTTTTCATAGTTTTAAACTCCTATTAGAACCAATGTGACTTATGTAAAACCACTTTAATATATACTTTAAGTATCAGGTGTTTCAGTTATAATCTTCCATTTATTCAGAGGATAGCTCCGACCGGGTATCAAAATCAGAAAAGGTTAGTGCTTTATAACATTGTGTGTTTTCTCATATTTAAGTTGTGTGGTTCTGTCTGTTTGATGCAGACATTGTTCCTACTTTTGTGTATAATATCCTTCTAATTGGCTTAATTGATGCATAACTTGCAGGAATAACTTTGTGTGAGCCTGTTGATTTATCTATTAAGGAGTTGATAAAGAGACTTGAAGAAGGTAAACTTTTGTAACTACTTGGTAAAGCATTTTCTAGATTCTGAACCTTGATTTATGCTGAAAATCACAGTTATTCATTTTCTCTTGTCAATGCAGTTCACGCCATAGAAAGCATAAATTCAACGTATAAATTAAATAAGGTTTGGACTGGTGTGGAAGTGCTTACATTCATTTCAACCAGACTATTACTCAAGGATAATTCTGCTGATGTGCTTGTTTCTGTTTTTCTTGCTGCGAGAAGGAATCTTTGTTCAAGTGGATTAGAAGGACCAATAGCCGTCTCATTTAGAAATCTTCCCTTCTTGAGTCATTGTAAGTATACAAATTCAAGCCATACACACACACACTATCCACTTCTTTGTTCAAATTTAATATAAGAGTCGTGTGCATTGTTTTCCCAGGGATTCATAAAACAACAACCTAAGAAAGGGACACAATATGATAATGTATTTGTCTCTGACATTTATTTGTGTCAGAGGAATTTGAAAGGAAATAACTTGACTGGGTTTGTCCCAAGATCTCCAAGGAAAAGAACAATGGCTGGTGGACTTGCACTGAGAGGTACATTTTCTTGTCAAAACCCCGGAACCATAGTTATCTTTCTTAGAGAATTTGTGTCTCTACCAGTTTCTGAAGATTGTTAATGTCCTCTATGTTTCCAGTGTGGATGAACATAACATTTGTCACCCACGTTCATGTTAGGATGGGAACAAAATCATCGTGCCAATAGTTGTAGCCACATTAATGATCGTTCTCATTTTGCCTTGGTTGTGATATGCATCATGCGTAAGTAACTAAATATATCAGCGTGTGGTTGGTTTCTACTGTATTTAGGTTCTCATGGCTGATTTGTTCTTCAGATGGCACTCAGCTGGAACTTCCGTGTCAGTCAAGGACTGGAGGCCCATTCGGAACAATGAGGTTTGATGCTGAGCAAGCTCATGGAGCCAACAGTGGTATCCACATTGCTCTTAGGTTGTTTGACCCCATCAGGGAGCAATTCCCTACTATCTCTTTTGCTGGTTGATTTGAGATCTTAAAATAGTACTAATTGGTTGATGGTGATAACTTTAGGGTTCGGATGCTAACTCTCAATGTCCTTTTGGTGTGAAATTGATCTTTCAGCTTGCTGAGGTTGTGGCTGTTGAAGTTACTGGTGGCCCTGAAATTCCTTTCTACCCTGGAAGAGAGGTTAATCATTGCTGAGAGTGTGTGTTCTGCTTTCTTTGTAGAGATGGCTGATTGATAATTTATACATTCTCTCAATCTTTGTAATACTGAAACACTGTGGGACTTGATTGTCTGTTTCTAACATGCATATCTTGCTTTCAGGACAAGCCCCAGCCACCTCCAGAGGGTCGTCTTCCTGATGCTACAAAGACTTTTGATCACTAGAGAGATGTCTTTGCTAAGCAGATGGGCTTCTCTGATAAGGACATTGTCGCTTTATCTGGTGCCCACACTCTATTTCTCCATTTCAGAGCTAACAACACTTGTGAAAAAAGGTCATACTTGTAAGCAATGACCTTCACTAATAAAGGTCATTGCTTACAAGTGAAGAGATCCTTAAGTTGCAAAGAACAAAAGGGAGGCATACAAATGTTAAGGTCAAGTCTCTTCCTCTGTCTCCTTTACAGCAATTAGACACGTCGGATAGAGGCTTTCACTATCCCGAAAATGTTTACTTCCATACCATTCTATATCTCTTACAAGACGTTTGTCTATTTTCTTTTTATCTTTGAATAAGAATTAGATAAGGTGAACTAGAGAAGATGAAGCTGACTTGCAATTTCCAGCAACTTCCAACAATGTGAGCAAGCAACCAAATGTCGACAGGGAGGATTCTGTAAGTTTGTCATTTTTTGGTTTTAATGAATTCAAATATTCGTTCTATGTTTAAGCTGCTTGTTATTAACAAATGTTCTTTGGTTTCAAGCGCTTCTTAAGTTGAAATGGATCTTTTGAAAAAAGGTTTCGAGATGAAGGATTATTTAGCTGCAAAGAAGTTTTGAAGACCATTTAGTAGCCAAAAAAGGTATGGTTAAGTAGCTCTCTCTCTCACTTATCATGTCTCTTGCAGTGTCTCAAAAACGGAGCATCAATTCATTAAAACACACTCAAACGCACAAAAAAAAAAATCAAACACACAAAAATTAGTTAAAGTCACCAAAAAAAAACGAAATTCAAACGCACAAAGAAAAAACATACCACACAACGTTCACGAAACAGAAAACATAATATAAATCCACGAAAACCGACACTTGAACGTACACAAAAAAAACACACAACGATTAATTAAAAGTTACACACAAACAAAAAAAACATAGCACACAACGTCCAAACGCAATCTTAAAAACAGAAAATAGCTTTCATAGAATTTTTGTAACAAAATGTGTGAATAATCACATCTGATGTCAAGAACTTGCTTTGTTCCCTTGTTTCTTACTTTATTATCTACTTGCATTAGTATAGCTTGTATTAACTTATTTTTTTCTTCAAGCGAAATGCAAACATGCTATATAGTTGAAAATGATTTCGTGTACATGAGGATGGTTTGCAGTTTAAACCAGATTTTTATAAGAAAGAGCAAAAGTTTCAGATGCGTTTCAATATACTCATGAATGATAAGGTAATCTTGTTAAACCATAAATGTGACTTTATATAAAATTACTTTAATATATATTTTAAGTATTCATGAATTCCAGTTATAATTTTTCCTTTATTTTGAGGATAGCTTCGACCGGTTATCAAAATTAAAGAAGGTTAGTACTTTATAGTTTTGTGTTTTTTCATAATTAAGTTGTGTGGTTATGTCTGTTTGATGTAGACATTGTTCAGTATTTGGTTTATAATATCCTTTAATTGACTTAATTGATGTGTAACTTGCAGGAACTACTTTGTGTGAGCTTGCTGATGTATCATTAAGGAATTACTTAATTGATGCTGCTGATGCAACCAAAACATATATTTTCACTTTCTTTTTTGATTCTGTTTAGGCACAACGATCAAGAGTGGGTGACAAGAGGGATGCTGTTTCTGAAATCTTCTTATCTTGCTTTCAATTAGTTTCTAGATGATGCAGGGAAAGACAAGCATGTATTTCTATCTGGTAAGAATTTTACATGTAAGTCCTTGTTTTTCATTTTCCATTGCATTGGCCTCGAACCTTGATTTATACTGAAACTCACAGTTATCCATTTTATCTTGTTAATGCAGTTCACGCAATAGAAAGCATAAAATCAACGTATAAAGTGAATAAGGTTTGGACTGGTGATCCTTTCTCTCCAATACTATTCCCTTGGGAAGGTACTTTTAATTACCATATCAAGTCCCTGTAAGTCATTCATTTCAGCCAGACAATAACTCATTTTTGTAATCTCCTTCTCTGATAATTCTGTTGATCAGCTTGTTTTTGTTTTTCTTGATGCGAGAATGAATCTTAGTTCAAGTGGGTTGCAGGGACCAATAGCCTTCTCCTTTAGAGATCTCTCCCTCGAGTTATTGTAAGTATACAAATGAGCCATACACACACTTTCCACCTCTTTTTCTTTTTGTGCAAATCTTCCCACCTCTTTATTCACAATATATATGAGTCGTGAGCGATGTTTTCCCAGGGATATCAAGGAACAACCTGAGAGGGGATTTTTTTACTGATCTAAAGTATGTGATGTTCTTTAAGGTTGAGCACATAGAGATGCTTTTCGTTTGACAGACATTTGATAATGTATTTGTCTTTGACAATTATTTGTGTCACAGGGATTTGAAAGGAAATAACTTGGATGGGTTTGTCTCAAGATCTATTAGGAAAAGAAGAAGGGCTGGCTGACTTGCACTGAGAGGTACATTTTCTTGTCAATACCCCGGAACCATAGTCATCTTGTCAATTTCCTCTCTGTTTTCAATGTGGATGAACAAATATTTGTTGTCACTCGTGTATAATTGTAGCTACACTAGTGATCATTCTCATTGTCGCATTGGTTGTGATATGCATCATGCGAAGGGAAAGAAAAAGAAGTAAAAATAGTTAGTCTTTTACATAATCTAAACGGTTAATAAAAGTCAGAACTAATTGTTGAAAGAAAGCGAGTGTTTTAGTTTCATAGTGTATTCGGGAGCTTAGACATTGTTTTATGGTTGCTAAAGTGGAAATTTCTTTGCAGGAGGAGCGAGCTTTTTTTGACAGTGCATCATCGGAACTTGTAAGTTTGTCATTTTAAAGATCTTTGGAATTCAAATATACGTTCTATGTTTAAGCTGCTTGTTATTTATTAACTAGGGTTATTTGGTTTCAAGAGCTTTCTTACGTTGAAATGAAACTTTTGACAAAGGGTTTTAAGATGAAGGATTGTTTGGCTGCAAAGAAAATCTTTCAGTAGCCAACAAAGGTATGTATAGTTAAGTAGCTCTCTTTCTCTCTCTTTCACTTATCATGTCTCTTGCACTGTCTCAAAAGTAGAACATAAATCCAGGAAAACCCACAATCAAACGCACACAAAACTAATTTAAAGTCACCGAAACACAAAACGAAATTCAAACACAAACAAAAAACATAGCACACAACGTCCAAATGCAACTTCAAGAAACAGATAACAGAACATAAATCCACGAAAACCCACACTCAAACGCAAACAAAAATTAATTAAAAGTCACCAAAACACAAAACGAAATACATAGCACACAACACCCAAACGCAACGTCAAGAAACAGAAAACAAACTTTCACAGGAAATTTTTAACAAAATGTGTGAATCACATTTGATGTCAAGAACTTGCTTTGTGACTGTATTAACTTATTTATCTTCTTCAAGTGAAATGCAATCATGCTATTTAGTTGAAAATGCTTTCGTGTACACGAGCATTGTTTGCAATTAAACCAGGTTTTCATAAGAAAGAGCAAAAGTTTCAGATACGTTTCAATATACTCATGAATGGTAAGGTAATCTTGTTAAACCTTTTTCATCATTTTAAACTCTTTTCTATTAAAAGTAATGTAATGTTATCTAAACTAATTATATGTTTTAAGTATTCAGAGGTTTCAGCTATGATCTTCCATTTATTCAGAGGATAGCTCCGACAGGGTATCCAACTTTATATATTGCGTTTTTTCCTCACAATTAAGTTGACATTGTTCTTTTGTTCATTATTTTTTGTTTAATGTCCTTTTAATTGGCTTAATTGATGTGTAACTTGCAGAAATAACTTTGTGTGAGTCTGATGATGTATCTATTAAGGAGTTAATAAAGAGACTTAAAGAAGGTAAGCTTTTGTAACGAATTGGTAAAGCATTACAACTATTTTCAGACTAAAAACTACAATGCACTTGCGGTTTAGTTTGTGCAAGAAAAAAATAATGAGTAAAGATCCAACCAAAGCATATATTTTCACTTCCTTTTTGCTTCTATTTAGGCACACCGAGCAAGAGTGGGGGACAAGAGGGATGTTTTAAAGGTGAGAAAAATAATCAGGAGACAACTGAGATCTTCTTAGCTTGCCTTTAATTAGTTTCTGAATGTGCTACATGTTTAGGTCCAAAGTCCTGGCGTTGAGAATTTGATGATGATATATATAATAAACTTGCAAATATTTGCATTATACATTTCTATCTGGTAAGAATTTACAGTCCCCAAGTCACTATAAGTCCTTGTTTTTCATTTTCCAGATTGGGTATGAATTCAGTGGAGGCCAATGCAATGGAAAAGCTCCGACGTTTTCTTTGGATAGAGTCATGTTCTGTTCCCAGGGTGCTACGAAATTTTGTGACCAGGTACTTGTTTTATAGATTGGCTTTTTAAGGATTCCTGTTTCACTGATCAAGTTTTTCTGACAGAATCTCTTTTCGTTTTATTTCCTAGCTTGCTTTCAGAAACTTGACGATGCAGAAAAAGAGAAGCATGTATTTTATCATTTCTATCTGGTAAGAGTTTTACATGTAAGTCCTTGTTTTCCATTTTTCATTGCATTGGCCTCGAACCTTGATTTATATTGAAACTCACAGTAATCCATTTTCTCTTGTTAATGCAGTTCACGCCATAGAAAACATAAAATCAACGTATAAAGTGAATAAGGTTTGGACTGGTGATCTTTGCTCTCAAAGACTATTCCCTTGGGAATTACCAAATCAAGTCCAAACAATAACTCATTTTTGTAATAATTTCCCTCAAGGATAATTCTGCTGATGAGCTTGTTTTTCTTGATGCGAGAATGAATCTTAGTTCAAGTGGGTTACAAGGACCAATAGCCGTCTCATTTAGAAATCTCTCCTTTCTTGAGTCATTGTAAGTATACAAATTCAAGCCATACTGTCCACCTCTTTATTCACATTAAATATAAGAGTCGTGTGCATTGTTTTCCCAGAGATTCATAAAACAACAACCTAAGAAGGGAATTTCTGGCTGATTCTGAAGTTCTTTAAGGTTGAGCACATAGAGAGGCTATTTTGATAATGTATTTCTCTCTGACATTTGTTTCTGTCACAGGAATTTGAATGGGTTTGTCCCAAGATCTCATAGGAAAAGAACAATGGCTAGGGGACTTGCACTGAGAGGTACATTTTCTTGTCAAAACCCCGGAACCATAGTCATCTTCTTAAGACAATATGTGTCTCTACCATTTTCTGAAGCTTGTTAATTTCCTCTCTGTTTCCAATGTGGATGAACAAAGCATTTGTCAACCACGTTCAGATTCGTCGTGCCAATAGTTGTAGCCACAATAGAGATCATTCTCATTGTCGCCTTGGTTGTCATATGCATCATGGTAAGGGAAACAAATTAAGTAAGCACATTTGGTCTTTTACATAATTAATGGTTGATAAAAGTCAGAATTAATGCTGAAAGAAAATGAGTGTTAGTTTCCTAGTGTATTCAGGACCACTTCTGCCTTCGGGAAAGAGAAGGTTCACATGTAGCATTACAAACAACTATAAAAGTGATCGGTTACGGAGGGTTTGGTAAGAACAGCAAAAACATTAGAAACCAGATAAGAGAAGACATTGTTTTATGGTTGCTAAAGTGTAAAATGTTTGCAGGCAGAGCTTCTTTTGACAGTGCATCTACGAAACTTAGCTTGGTTTATTGGATATTGCGATGATGGTAGCAGTATGGCTCTCATCTGCGAGTACATGGCCAATGGCAACTTCCAACACTCATTTTTGAGTATTTATTGTAAGGTAATTTGACTTCACGGTTTGTATTTCTTACCTGCTTTTTAGTCGTTATAAGTTTCAACGGATGTGAAATTTATTTGTCGTTTGAAACTTTGTCCAGGTTAAAATTTATAAATATGAATGAGAGAAGCAAGTAAGCAACCTCTTCTGGGAATTTTGGTTTAGTAAGTTTTATTTCTTTGGCTATAATTTGGTTGTATTAATTTTATCTGTGCATTATATCTTGCTCAAACTCAAAGTACATAACAAAATGTTTTCTTTTTTTAGGAGCATCAAAGAATTTCAATTTGGAGATGACTTGGTGTAGCCAAGAACAAGCGGCTCTTGGATGGTGTAACTGAGTTACGGTAACTATCTTTTACCTCTCATAAAAAAAAAACACAAACCCACGAAAACATAAAACACACAAAACAAAAAATCCACGTGCACACAAAAATGCAATAAAAAGTGCAAAAACAAACTTCACGTTCACGAATCACGACCACATAAACTCCACAGCTTCACGATCACATAAACTCCACAACTTCCACGTTTACGAATCACGATTACATAAACTCCACAACTTCACGATCACATAGAGTTTTGCTTCCTCTGACAATTTCAATTTTGATTTTTTCAAAATGACTTGTATAATTTTAACTCAATTCTTCTTGTTTTAATATTCTTTTCCCAATGTATTTTGAGCGTCGGTGATGTAAGTTGTAAAGCTTCTGGTTATCAGTTGTATTTTTTTTTTGTGCAAACAGCTTCTTGTTATCAGTTATTACATTTTTAAGTTGTTTTTTTTATTTCACTTGCTATAGAATTTGTAATTAGGATATCCTTGTTCTTGTTTTTCATATTCTTTTTGCAATGTAATTTTTGAGCATCGAATTTGTAAAGTTTCTTGTTATCAGTTATTACATTGGTTTTTTTTCTTAAGAATTCGTAATTTAAATATTTTACTTACATGTAATTATAAATAAAACAATCTGAGTTTAGTTATTCATCTTCTTGTCACCAAAGAGTTGAATTATTCATGTTCATGTTTTTTCGTAATATCAAAAGATTCGGGATCCCTCTAAAAGTTTTTCGATATTTAGGAAAAACTCAACGCTCAAAATTCTGGGCCATTTTGTAAATACAAAAAGATTTGGACTCCTTCCAAAAGGTATTAGATATTTCCAGTAAATATCGAAAGATTCAATAAATGGTAATATGGTATGAGGTGTTTTGGTAAATAACAAAATATCTGGGTATTAAAAAAAACTGAGTTACTTTGGTAAATAACAAAAGATCTAAGTTTTTTTATAAACAACATAAAATATGGGTAACTAATATACAAGAGATTACTTGTGAATGACAATTATATATCTTCGTTTATATATCTTTGTTGAAATGACAATTATATATCTTTGTTGAAATAACAGATGCAATTATATATCTTCGTTTACCAAAAAAAAAAAAATGATAAATAATTGTCATTTCAACAAGCACCAGAAGATAGCTAAACCAAAGATGCATTTCAACAAGTCTCGTAAGAGTTTTAGTACAAAAGAGTGGCCGACTCTACACAAACACAAGAGGCTAATTCTGAAAGAGTATTCACATTTTTGCACAAAGGTAAAGAAAGATGATTTACTCTATAAGGTGTCAGATATATATATAACAGCTTCTGCACCACTTTTTTCTTCATATTTGCTCTGAAATCAACAAGCTGCTCAAAATAGTAGATGTAATCAAAAGATCCTTCACCTGCAAGTATCATGAAAATGAAACTAAGACTTGATACTCAAGAAACCGTCTCAACATAATAATATCATCATCAATAGTCCATACTCGTCAATTATTAACATACCTTCCACTGCAAGAAACAACCAACCCACAGATCATCAGAACGTAACAGAGCGGCAAAGATCAATATAAGCCGCGTTCATGGATCTAAGCACACGCTCCATTGAATCGATCTTCCCCCAAATCTGACCTCTTTCACGTTTTTCCAACGCGATCTCTACACACCAAATCTCTACACACCAAATACCTTTATCCGAGTTATCAGTAGTACCCAAAACCATCAACTTCCCACCAACATTCGCCATTTTACAATTGAAGTAATTCAGATTAGGCAAACCATGTAAACCCATCACAGGAGTCCAAAACATTCCATTTGGATCATACACCTGTATCCGACGTTGAACACACCATGGATCCAAACTATACAACAAATCCTCAATCACACAACACGGCTTGCTCCAATAAGACATCAACTTAGTTTCAGGCTCCCATGACTCCCATGTACCATCATTGGGATCATAAACCAAACCACGCAGATCATCCAAAATGTAAATCTTGTTTTGCATCACAACAGATGTCACAAACCCTCCTCCTGGCAAACTAGACTTCCAAGGGGATGGATCAGGAACAGTACTCCAAGTCCCATTCTCTACATCGAACACTTCGATCCAATCCTCATACCGCTTCTCGCAACCTCCGATGACATAAATCTTTCCGTCAATTACTTCTGCGACTGCACGGTAACGAGCCCTATGCATAGTTGGGAGATAGTTACACGTATGGACTCTACAGTCGATGACAAACACAGTCTTTACATGGTTAAATGGGCCTATCATTCCACCGATCACATACATCTTGTAGCCGATTGTGACCACAGCAGAACCAGGATTCATAGGAGGAAGTGAACCGATTTGGCTCAGTCTTAATGGGATGTTTCTTGGAATGTTTTGGTTGAGAATGAACCAGGTCGGGAAACCATGAGAAGGGAATCCGATCAAAGCGTAAAGAATCGGTTCGGTTAGGTTGAGACTCAAGCGTCTGTGGTGGAGTTCCGGCGAAGAGATTACGCGACGAAAGGCTTTAGAGAGGAGAGATAGCGACGGGTAGTGACATCTTCGGATGAGTGCGACGGTTCTTCTGATGAGTGCTTGTGGGATTCGTCGAGGTATCGGAGGAAGATTCTCTGCTTCTTCTTCTTGATGATCGTCTTCTTGATCTTCATCTTTCGGTTTCTCGTTTTGATTCTCTTCTTCTTCTTCTTCTTCTTTAGGGTTCTTGTGGAGTTCTTCGGATTTCTTGTTTGGTACGCCACCGTTAGAGCCGTCGTCGGAAGTTTCAGAGATTATAGCCATCGTCGTGTGACGTCAGCAGGAACGAATTAACGGAAAGCGAGACTAATCAGATTTTTGAAAGAAGCAGTTACGTTGTGTATTTATAATGAAACCATAATGAGTAAATAAATACTCTGCTTCTTTCACAAACTTTTCAGAAACTTCGTTTAAAAAGATAATTTGTGTTAATTTTCTTAAATCTTGAATTAATATATATCTCATTTATTTATTTTTTCTTCACTTACACTTTTATTACAAAAGGCACTAATCTAACGGAAATATACTATTGTACTAGGATATGACCCGCGGTACACCGCGGGTTAATTATTTGATTTTTTTATTTTTATAAATTGATGAATTTATTGTATATAATATTTTTTGTTGTATACCGCGGGTCACATGCGTTATATCTAAAATAAAAAATTTTAAGTTGTATTTGTTTTGTTTAGTGTTTAAGATTGTATAATTGTATTTTGATTTGTTATTTATAGGATTTCACCTGTGGTATATTGTCTCGTATTAATATTGACCCAAACCCGTCCAACCATATAATCTAAAATGAAATTAAACATCATTTTGTTATTTTTTTAATAACACTTTTATTTAAATGTCATATAATTCGAGTTAATTTGAAAGTTGCTTTCAAATAGTTTCCATGTATATTTTTAAATTAGTGTGTGTTTTTGGACCAACCCGTAAAAACAATTTATAATTGTATCTTAAAATACTAATTAAGATTTCACCCGTGATATACTGTCCCATTTTAGATAATTGTAAAAATTAAAGAAAGATCCGAATGACTCAATTTCGGGTCTGAATAAAATAACGACATGATTAAATGCTCAATTTGTTCTTAAAAATGTTAATATAGATTACACACATATTTTTATTCATCGATTGAGTAATATATGTCCGTTTTAAAAAATTTGAATTGTAACATATGCAGAAAAAAAAAAACTAAAATTTACTAACTATTTATATATTTTATAATAATTTAAAATAATATAAATATAAGATCAAATAAAAGTGAAATAAGAATCAATATTTATGTTTAAATTAGGTAGAGAGGTTTTAGGAAATTAGTGCAAATTTGTTATATTAGCATTAAATCATCATATTTGATTTCTTTATCTATAAAAATCGTGGAAAATATACCATAAATAAAGCGTTTAAATATAGTAATTAGTTGAGAAAGTATATATATTTTAGATTTTATTAATTATTTTCGTTTTTTAATTTTGCCAAAATTTAAGGAAAGATCCGATTGAAGATTTCCGGGTCAAAATTAAACAAATTTGACCCGATTTGGGTACCCCAAAAACTGCTGCAAAAATGTATAGTAGATAGTTTCTCCAAAAAATAATGGTAAAAGAAATTCAGCCTAAAAACTGCATGTGATTTTTTTTTTTTTTTCGGAAACCATATCAGCAATTTTTTTATTTTTTTCTCAAATTAACACTGGTTTATAACCTTAAATAAAATAAACCGATGGACGAAGAATTTGTAATAATTGAGTCAAATGTCTCTCAAGTCTCAGCTTTGTGATCTCTTTACTTAGAAACCCTAATTTGTCTCTCAAATGGCGTACACAAATGTTGAATTCAATAGCTTTGTTCGTCCTAGCTAGGCACTGAAAACAAAACTAGATTGAGATAGCATTTTCCTGATTGTAGTTTATGAAAAAAAAAACGTAACAATAAAATTTAATGGTCTAGGGGATTAACTAAAGATTTGATTTTGCCTTAGTTATGGAATTTGATTTTTAGAAAGCAGGGATTTTGCTGATTAATAAAATAAAATTTATTGAAATTGTTTAACGTGATAAATGTATCCCGTATGTCAAAAATAAATATAGTGCATGTAAATTGTTTACCATAGACGTTGTGGAATTGTATGTAACTAGATTTTAACCCGCGGTACACCGCGGGGCTATATTTTCTTAAAAAAATCAAAATGTAATTTGTTTGATAGATTATTTTGATTGTTAATTTTAGGATTTCACCCGTGGTATACTATCTTTTATAAATATCAACCCAAACCTGTCCCATCATATTACCCGTCCCGTGAAATTAAACATCATTTAGTTATTTTTCTTTTTAATAATACTTTTATTTAAAAGCTATATAATTCAAGTCAATTTAAAAATTTCTTTTAAATGGTTCCCATAAGATATATATACATATATATTAAATTTGTATAGAGTTGAAATAATATTAATATTACAAACTTTTTATATAATTTAAATATTATAAATATTTTTAAAAATATGCAATATATATTTTTTGTTATTGAAGAAGAGGATATTATGTGTAAGAAATGTAGAAAATAAGAGTTTAATATTTTTACTATGGAGTCGCAAGAAAAATCTTTTATTTCTATACATGTTATTCGTTTATTAATAATAAAAGAAAACAAATCCTTTAAATTAGATATTAACTAAAATAAACGCACCATAATTACTTATTAAGTAACAACCAATAAATTTCACCAAAAAATAGGTAACAACCAATAAATTCTAAACGCAGTAATTAAAGAATGAGATATTAAAAAAAAATATCAAATAAGATATAAGAATCTTAAAATAATTGAATATCTAAATAATTTAATTGTTAGTGTCGATTTTAATGCCTTCATTAATGTGGATTTTTTTTTTTACAGAGAAATATTTCCTAAAGATTATCACATTAATGACTCAGAAAATTAAGGAAGATATGAATTTATGATTCTCGAAATCGTGTTGGTAATATCTTTAATTAATATTTTTCAAATTTAAATAATTAATGCCAATGGCATTCATCCGTAAATACATTCCAACTCCAGGATTTATTTGCTAAAAGATCCAAAAATGTATATATAGATCATTGTAACTAAACTTTTGTTCGTCGTAATAATTATCCGATCCCAATTAAAAAAATATAAATGACATATGTTTTAAATCTTAATCTATAAACTATTTTCCAGTTTTGCCAAATATAAAGTTCCTAAAATGTCGTCAAAGACCCAAAAGAAAATGTCAAAGTCCCAACTACAACGAGATATTTGCGAAGAAATTGTTAAATAAACTTTGTTCAGTTATTTTCCTAAATATTACTTTTAAAGACTACTATAATACAAGTATGATATTATCATTAGTTTTTACAAAACATATTACTCAAAATAAATTTATAATTTTTAAAAAACTTAATAGCAAGTTACAATTACTTAAACTTTCAATGGCACTAAAGAAAATTACGATAAGCATAATTATATTGTATATATTTACTTTAGGTAAACTTGTAGTTGTATTCTTCGTATAAGGTCGTTAAGTTAACTTAAGCCGGTTGGCGCATGCAGACAGACACACACTTATATAAATTACGATAACACCTCCTACGATCATTGAAACAGCAATAACACACTTCTTCTCTGTGTTTTGGACATTTGTCAAGATGGCACACTGATGAACCTAATTTGTTATTTTCAAGACCTTGTCCGTTTGCACCTATAAGAAAAATATTATTGGTTAAAAAAATGAAGAATTAAAACCAAAATTAAAAAGAAGAATACCATTATAACAATATGATTACAATGGTGATGATTGTAAACGATGAATAAGCGATTCCTTATATATGCATAATTTCATAAACATACATTTTGTAGAGGAATAATAGAGATTACGATGATGCAAAGGATCATAACAAAATGTGATGATGACATTCTTTATATATATATTTGTTAATTCTTTGTTTGCTATATGATGATTGAAATATTCCGAACCTGATTTGTTCGCGTCAAGACCTTGTGCATTTGCAGCTATAAGAAAAAGATTAGAAGTTAAAAAAAAAGAGAAGAAATTTATTTATGACAACATGATTACAATGGTGATGATTGTAAACGAAGAAAAAGCCTTTAATTTCATATATTCTTGGAGAGGAACGAGAAAATTACGATGATGCAAATTATAACAAAATGTGATGATGATATTGTTGTGATATTCGTTTTTTTTTTTTTTTAAAAAAATTCTTTGCTTGTTATTTGATAGTTGAAATCCGAATTACCTGACTTGTTGGCGTCAAAATGTTGTGTTTTGTTTCCAGCTATATAAAAAAAAATAGAAGTTAATAACTGATATGGAGGATTTTATATATAACAATATGATTACAACTGGTGACTGATTGTAAACAATGAAAAGGCAATTATTTATATATATGCATTTTATAAACATAACGAGAGAAATTACGATCATGCAAAGGATAACAAAATGTGATGATGACATTGTTGTTTTTTTGGTTAATGTTTTGTTTGTTTTTGATGGTTAAAATCCGAACCTGATTTGTTTGCGTCAACAGCTTGTGCGTTTGAAGCTATAAGAAAAAAAAATAGAATTAAAAAAATGAATTTTATTAATAACAATATGATTACAACGGTTATTCATAAACATACAAGAATTCTTGTAGAGGAATGAGAAATGGTTGCATATGGATGAAAAATTGGAAAAATTGAGTTGAAAAAAAAAAGGTTGAATAGTATTCAACTCATTCCTCTGCGAAATAGGAGATGAACAAGTTGAACAAATTTTCTTTATAATTAGTTCATTTTTCCAATTTTTTGAATTGAATGGGTTGAACCATTGTTTCAACATATTCATCTCAAATGGTAAAAAATTAGATGAATGCTCATTCAACTCTTTAATTTTAGGCAACCATTTGCACCAAAATCAGTATGATGCAAAGGATAACAAAATGTGATGATGATATTGTTGTGATATTCTGTTTTTTTTTTTTCATTTTTTTTATTTGTTTGCGATTTGATAGAGTTGAAATCCACACCTGACTTGTTCGCGGCAGGATGTTGTGTGTTTCCAGCTATAAGGGAAAAAAAAATTAGAAGTTAATAATTGATCTGGAGAATATTATATATATAACAATATGGTGATGACTGATTGTAACCAACGAAAAAGCGATTAATTATATATATGCATAAATTCATAGACGTACATCCATCTAGAGGAACCAGAGAAATTACGATGATGCAAAGGATAGCAAAATGTGATGATGACATTCTTGTCATATTCTTCTAAAAACCAGAAAATTTGTGTTTTTTTTTTTTGGTTTTTTTTTTTTTTTTTTTTTTTGGGGGTTATTTGATGGTTGAAAACCTAAAATCCTTAGATACAGTTTGTTTTTATAGATAAGTTGTATGTAATTATTAGTGCATGTCTCCGTATGGTGATCCGTAAAAAACTGTTAAGTTAAGTGTTTTTACTAGTCGTAGTTCTTTCCTATTCCTTAGTAAATTAGTGATATTGTTGTTGTTTAATTAAAATGACAATTATAAATACTTTGCAAAAAATGTTGGAAACTATTATGAACCCTATAACAAAATATGTATATTAACTCACATGTTTTGACAACAACAAAAATATATGTCAAGATCACGTATATATGATACTATGATCAAATATGTATGAAGGGTCGGGAAGAAAAGGGATAAACCCGAGTGTGTCGGGTTAGTAGGTATGGAACTGATACCATCGAACCAGTGAATCGGAATGGCTAGCTTTCTGGGAAATTTGTGGCGAGTTGGTGCGTCGGTAGAAAGGGCATGTGGACGGGAGACAGAGAGTTGGCGTTGGTCCAAACCCATTTTAGATAATATATATGTTATAAATTAAAAAAATGTATTGTATGAAGGGAGACAGAGAGTTTTAGAAAAAGAGAACAACTTTAGTTCTTCGTATTGATTTTTTCTTTCCATAAGAAACGAGCAAAATAATTACTTAATAAATTAATCACTATCAATAATATCATGTAACCACTAGTTAAAGCAAACCGGTTTGTTTAATTTGCTCCTGGAACATCTTCACATCTCTGAACCAAAACTTCAAATGCTTAAGCACATGAGTGGGTCTTTAGAGACAAATGTAATTAAATGACATATCTTCTCTTTGCATATATAGATAGCTTCACTTTGATCTCGTAGGTTGAGTGATTGTAGCTACTCATAAAGTCAAAATCACTGGTTAACTAAATCACATTATTTTGCTTCATCCTCTAAACCAAAATTTCATATTTGCTCATATGGTAGAAGCAGATAAGGTTTCGTTAAATCTGATTGTGATCATTACTTACAGAAGAATTATATATCTAAAAAGAACTTGCGATCATGTTAGTGCAACTGCACAAAAACCCATAAGATGCATTTCAACAAGTTTCCTACAAAGTTTTTGCATAAGGCAGCTAAAAGAGTACTACTAATTCTGTAAGAGTATTCACATCATATTGTGCACAAAGGTCAAGAAGCATCGGACGAGTTATGCTTCAAGGTGTAAGATGTAACAGCTTCTGAGTTACTTTTCTCTGATACCAACTAGCTGCTCAAATAGTATAGATGTAAAGATCCTTCACCTGCAAGTTTATGAAAACCTAAATAAGACGTGAGGCTCAAGAAACCTTCTGAAACATCATAATTCATCACCAATAGTCCCATTACTCATCAAAGATTAACATACCTTGCAACTGCAAACGAGTCATCAAACCGTAACAGTTCGAGAAAGCTCAAAGAAAGGCGACATGCGGAATGATTTCACAGGCGAGAATGATTCGACCTCCCCCAAAATTTCACCATCTTCATGTTTCTCCAAAGCCACCTCTACGCACCAAACATTTTTATCGTAATAATCAATACTATACTGACTCCGAAAACATCCCAAAACCACCAGCTTCCCACCATAATTCGCCATACTAGACTCGAAATAAACGAGATCATTAGGCCAAAACGCTAAACCCTTGACAGATCTCCAAACCATTTCCCTTGGATCATAAACGACAATCGGAACTCCTGCAATCTCCCGATCAAGAACAATGGCATATAACAAATCATCAACCACACAAGACGACGCGTGCCAAAAACTCCTCTGTACACTTCCAATTCCCCAAGCCTCCCATCTACGTCGTCTTGGATCGTAAGCAAAACAATGCTCATCATCCAAAATGTAAATCTTATTATCCAAAACCACATGTATATCAAACTCTCCCCTATAACTAGCAAGGGGAGAGAATGGACCAGGCACAAGTTCCCAACGCTCAGTCTCTACATTGAACACTTCGACCCAATCATTATATCGTCTCTTGCGACCTCCGACTACGTAAATCCTTCCGTCGATCACTCCAGCGGCTGCGTAGCAACGATCCTTATGCATATTCCGGAGCTGTCGATACGTATTGAATCTGCAATCTATGACAAGCATAGTCCTTACGGTTCGATTGTAGCGGAAGTTATAACCACCCATTACGTAAATCTTGTGGCCCATTGTGACGGCGGCGCATCCAAGAAACATGGGAGGAAGAGAAGTAACTCTGTTCAATTGTAAGGAGTTGTTGCTCCGATGGAGAATGAACCATCTTGGTTCTTCAAAAGTTGGGTACTTGAACGTGATCAAGGTATAAAGAACCGGTTCGGTCAAACCGATGCGAGAGCGAGTTTGGAAGAGATCCTCTGAAGAGATTACTTGACGAAAGGCGTTAGAGAGGAGAGATAGCGAAGGGTAATGGCATCTCCGGATGGGTGCGATGGTTTTTTCGATTAGTTCTGGTGGGATTTGTCGAGGAATCTGAGGAAGATTCTCCACTTCTTCTTCTTCTTGATGATCGTTTTCTTGATCTTCTTCTTTCGGATTCTCGTTTTGATTCTCTTCTTCTTCTTCTTTCGGGTTCTTGTGGGGTTCTTCGGGTTTCATGTTTGGATCGCCGCCGTTAGAACCGTCGTCGGAAGTTTCAGAGGTTAATGGAAAGCGAGACTAAATTTGATTTTTGAAAGAAGCTGTTACGTTGTGTATTTTTTTTTCTTTTCAAAGAATTACGTTGTGTATTTATAATGAAACCATAATTAATGAGTAAATAAAGACTCTTATATCTCATCAGAAAGAAAAATCAAAAATGATTTCTAATAAATCATTTTTTTTCTCTTAAATCTCTTTCTAATACATTAATGTATATTTTTTTTGGTGAGAATACATTAATGTATTAAATCATTAACATTTAATATGTCTTTCTTCACTTACTTATATTTTCAATATTATCGAAAATATTTTATACTAGTTTCTTCGGAAAAAAACAATTGGTAAAAGAAATTCACTTTGATTAAAATTAGAAATCCACTTATGTAATTTTTTTCTTGGGAAACTATAGTAGCAAAGTTTATTATTTTAAACAGTAGTTTTTTTTTTAAAAAAATCTTTCTTTTATGCTTTTTACATTAATAACAATAGCACCAATGGAAAAATCTTTAAAAACTGATTCAAATGTCTATCAACGTGATTACTTGACTCACAAGTCTCTGTTTCTCTCTACTTAGAAACCCTCGTCAAGGCTCATATACTTGAATCACTCTGTATATATAGACTAGCTTCAGCTTTCAGGACTTTGTATTTTTCTCACTATGATATTATAAGTTACCCATAAAGTCAAAACCACCGGTTAACTAAATCACTCTGTTTTGCTTAATCTCTTAACCAAGATTTCATATTGCCCACATATATATATAGTAGAAGCAGATCAAATAGGTTTCGTTAAATCTGATTGTGATTACTTACAGAAGAATGTTAGTGCAACTACACAAAAAAAAACCAGAAGATAGCTAAGTAAAGATGCATTTCAACAAGTTTCGTAAGAATTTTTGTTTATAGGCTAAAACAATAATGGCCTATTTTACACAGCTTTAGAATACTCAAGGCTAAAACAAGAATGGCCTATTGTGAACAAAGCTTCTAAACCACTTTTGCGTCATATTTGCTCTGATATCAACAAGCTGAAAGAACAATAGATGTAAATATGTAATAGAAAGATCCTTCACCTGCAAGTTAATGAAAGCCTAACTAGGACTTGAGGCTAAATAAAATGCCTCAACGTTGGGAAATTGCTCCTTCAAGATCCTCCTTTTTGCCTTGCTTTTATATTGCTCATATATACTTGAAGCACAGTGAGTCTTTTAAAAATGAGAACATAGTTTCATTCAAACAATATAATTTTCTCTCTTTGTATATGTTCTATATAGAAAACTTCAGCTTTCATCAGGACTTTGTACTTCCACACTTTGATATTGTAGTTACCCATAAAATCAAAACCACCGGTTAACTAAATCACTCTGTTTTGTTTCATATCTAAACCAGGATTTTATATCGCTCATATAGAAGAAGCTGAATAGGTTTCATAAGTGTAAACTAATCTGCTTACTTACACAAAAGTTATATATCTAAAAGCAAACATGAAGAAGTTGAGACCATGCTACTACAAAAAACCCAAAAGACTAAAGATGCTAAAAGGAGTGGCCAACTCTAGACCAGGCTAACTCTATAAGAGTATCACAGTTTTGCACAAAGGTAAGGAAAGACGAGTTACTCTATAAGACTAAGAGCAACCACAATGATTATAAATAAGTTTTGAGTTTTTTATAATTTAAAAATTAATATTTTAATATAAAAATAAACAGACCACTAAAAAGAAGACAAATATACAAAAGGTTTCTAAAATGTTTAGAAACAATCCTTATATAAGGTATGTTTCTTGTTCTCTCTCTTCTTTTTCTATTTTTTTTCTATTTTAAAGTTAAAGTATCTTGTAAAAAACTTCCATTGAGATTGCTCTAAAGATGCTAAAAGGTGTCAGATATAACAGCTTCTGCTTCACCACTTTTGCTTCATCTCAACAAGCTGTTAAAACAGTAGATGTAATAAAAAGTTTCTTCACCTGCAAGTTAATGAAAGCCTAACTAAGACTTGAGGAGGCTAAAACAAATGTTTGAAACAATTATGATATCATAATTCACATCAATAGTCCAAACTCATCAAAGAAACATACCTGCAAGAGTATGATCAAACCATAACAGTTCGACAAAGCTCAATGGAAGGCATCATCATCTCGTCCCTAAACACAAGCGAGATTGATTCAACCACCCCCCAAATCTGATTTTCTTGACGTGTTTCCAACGCAATCTCTATGCACCAAATATCTTTAGACCCCCAAGAATATTTGCCCAAAATCACCAACTTCCCACCAAAATTCGCCATCTTAGACCAATTATAACTGAGAATAGGCAAATTATAAGAATATCCACCCAGCACAGGTCCCCAAACCAATTCATTCGGATAATATATACCACTATCGGATATCCAAGAGTACACGTCAGATCAAGTGCATACAACAAATCTCCAACCACACAAGACGACGACGAGTTCCAAAATCTCATCAACTCACTTTCAACACCCCATGACTGCCATAAACCTTGTCCTGGTTCGTAAGCAAAACAGCCCCCAAACTCCAAAGTGAAAATCCTCCCCTGCATCACCACATATGTAACAAACTCTCCATTCTCACTAGCATCTTCAGGGCATTGACTAGGCACAGTTGCCCAAGTCTCAGTCGTCACATTGAACACTTCGACCCAGTCAGCATCTCGTTTCTTGCAACCTCCGATTACGTAAATGTTTCCGTCAATGACTCCGGCTGCTGCATGGTAACGAGCCCTTTGCATATCCGGGAGATTGCCCCACGTATGGAATCTGCAGTCGATGACAATCACAGTCGATACAGGTTTATTAGTAAACTCGATGGGATTGGTACCACCCATTACATACATCTTGTATTCGATTGTGACCACAGCTGCTCCAGGAAAGATATGACGAAGTGGACGGATTCTGCGTAATTGTAAAGGGATGTTGCTCCGACGAAGAAAGAACCAGCGTGGGGGGGAGTATACGCTGTGCATCTGATTAAGGCATAAAGAGCCAGTTCGGTGAAGCCGAGGAGCGAGCGCGTTACGAAGAGTTTATGCGAAGTGATTACGTGACGAAAGGCTCTGGAGACGAGAGATAGCGACGGGTAATGAGATCTTGGGATGTGTGCGATGATTCTTTCGAAGAGATCTTCTGGAAGTTCTAGAAGAATCGGAAGATTCTCTACTTCTTCTTCTTCTTCTTCTTCTTCTTCTTCTTCTTCTTCTTCTTCTTCTTCTTGAGCATTCTCTTCTTCTTCTTGAGCATTCTCGTTTTGATTATCTTCTTCTTCTTCTTGAGGATTCTCTTCTACTTCTTCTTGAGGATTCTCATCTACTTCTTGAGGATTATTGTTTGGATCGTCGCCACTAGGGCCGCCGGGAATTTCAGAGAGTAAAACCATCGCCGCCGTGTGACGTTAGTAGGAGCAACGAATTAACTGAAATGTTGTTTGGGTATTTATAAGGAAACCAAAATGTCATTTCTCTAGGTATCTCTCACTGCACGTAACGCATTCAGAAACTTCATTTCAAAAAAAAGTTTTTTTTTATTTATTTTTAAAAATATTCCAAAAAGATATTAATTTGTATTAAATCATTTTTCTCTAGGTACGTAAGTCTCGTTATACATTTTCATAATTTTTTGTAACGTGTTTTTCTTTTTTTTTTTTTTTTTTTTTTTTTTTTAACACTTAACGTGTTTTTCTTTACTTGCTTTTTTTTTTAACATCTGCTTTACTGAATGATAAAAGGTGTGAATAATCACAACGTAATTTATTCGAAATTAGAGAAGGGATACTATTATAAAAGAAAAAGGAAGAATTATCTTTAATTAAATATATTTTTCGTGTATTGAAAAATATATATTCAGGGAAATAATATACATGTATTTTCTCCAAAAACAGTTGGTGAAAGAAATTCAGTCTAAAACTTGCAAATGATTTTTTTTTTTTTTTGAAAACAATATCAGCAAAGCAATTTTTTTCTATTTCTACAACACTGGTTTATAGTTTTTGTTTCTTTTACGTTGTTTACATGAAAAAAATTCACCGATATAAATGGAGTCGTCAAACGTCTCTTAAGTGTTATTAACAAATCTTTTTTTTTTAATCTACAAAGAAACCCTAAATTATCTTTTAAATGGCATCTTGAATTGGAAGTGCTTTGTGAATTAATGACTTCGAGAGAACGTTAAACCTTTATTTACTCTAGTGGCTTCGTTAACCAAAAGGGATCTCTTAACCAATAGATCGAAAACCATATTAAAAATTAACATGTATGAAAGACTAGAATATTAATATAGCTTTGTTGGACAATTCTAGATTATTAACTTATGTAGATAGAGATACTCAATTGTTACATTTTTAGACAATTATAGTTTTAAAAATCCTAATTATACAGCTATAAATGTATAAGTTCTAGTTACGAGTTATCTCTTATTTTTACCAATGTCCTAAAGATAGTCACATGCCACTATCATTTTTGCCGTGTGGATAAAAAAAAATATATAGTGTATAATACACATACATGTGTTTTCAGTATATATACATTAAATTTTGGTTGATTTTTTTTCTTCAAAATTAATAATGAATTTCTTTCAATGCAATTATAGATATAAAACTTTAGGCAACACATTAATAGAAAAAAAATTTCTTTAGCCAATTAAGAAAACATATATAAACATTTTAGATATAAATCTATATAAAATGATTTCATATATGATAAACCAAGAAATGATGACATTGACCTTTCTTTTTACGGCGTCGTTTAAAGCAGAAAATTAAAGGGAAAAAATCCAACAAAAAAGGGGCAAAATTCTGACAAAAGGCGCCTTTTTGTTCTTTGAATTTTGGTGGGACCCACATGCTGTTCAAAGCTTATAGTAATAATTATTTTCTTCATCCGTTTGGCACACTCTCTTCCTTTATTGCTTTCTTTTTGCGGAACTCCTCCTCTCTCAATTGAATCGCTATTATTCATCTTCGTCTTCGCCGTTTGCCTGATCTCTCTCTGTAAGTACTCTGCATTTTACGATTCAAATTCCTCTTTTGTCGTATTCGATTGTTTGAGATTTAGGTGTTTCTTTTGTTTTGAATTTCACTTCTTATGATTTGAACTGTATGATATAACTTTTTTTTCTGATCTTCGGCTAATTTGAGTTTTTTTTTTTTTTTTGGTTGAATTGTGGTTGGGATTGGGAAATTTTATTTCTGGGTGGATAATTAATTGAGAAATTTATTTGAATCCGAGAAGATTAATTGCATATGCAGCAACTTAAAAAAAAAAAACGTAAATGCAAATTTATCTCTGGTAACAAACATTGTTTGTTGGTGATTTGAATGTTTGCTCTCTCCTCTTTGGTTTATCAATTGCAGGATTGGTTTTTTAAGCCTTACTGTTGTTGGATGCAGGACGATGAAAACAAAAAATGTCTAGGCTAAACAAAGACATTGATTCAGCATTTCACGGTGTTGGAACTAAAAGGTAATATGCTTGTTTATGAGATTGATCAAATTGGTTTACACTTTTTGTTTGTTTGTGTTTCTCTTATGTTTAAACCATTTTTGTTTGGGTTTTAGTGGCTTGGAGATTTGGTGCATATATAATAATCAGCTTATTTCTATATCCAAGTCTTCTTTTGGAAAATTTCACTCTGGAAATGCATATCTTGTTCTCAGAGTAAGCTGTTTCTCTCATTTTGATTTTCTACTTGTGATAAATTAGTGTGCCTAATGATACTTTGTTCTCATGATGTGTAGACGTTTTTGCGGAAGATCGAATCTCCCCAGTATGATATTCACTATTGGCTAGGAAATGATGCAAATGAGGTTTGTCTGATCACTTAGTGTGAGTTTTTTTATGCTGGCTATGAAATCTGGTGTTTTGAAGCTATTATATTGAGATTTATTTTGCACATTTTATCTGAAGGTGGATTTAGTTTTGGCATCAGACAAAGCATTAGAGTTAGATGCAGCACTTGGATGTTGTACGGTGCAATACCGTGAAGTTCAAGGTCAAGAGACTGAGAAGTTTCTCTCTTACTTCAAACCTTGTATTATACCTGTTGAAGGCAAGTTTTCACCAAAAACTGGATTGGTTGGCGAGACATACCAAGTTATTTTGCTAAGGTGCAAGGGAGATCATGTTGTTCGTGTTAAAGAGGTAATATGTGTTTGTATTATGAATCCTTGAAGACAAAAGTGCATTGTCTGGTGCAAAATTGTTTCTATGATGTATTTCTTTATTTGTCTGGAATTGTTATGCTTTATGAGCCTTGACATGGATATTCTTCAGTCTGACTTTGATTGGTTTCCCTTGATTTCAATCTATGCAAGGTGCCTTTTCTTCGGTCATCACTGAACCATGATGATGTGTTCATTCTTGATACTGCATCAAAAGTTTTTCTCTTTGCTGGTTGCAACTCAAGCACTCAGGAAAAAGCTAAAGCCCTGGAGGTTGTGGAGTATATAAAGGATAACAAGCATGACGGAAGATGTGAGGTGGCGACAATCGGTTAGATTTTTCTCCTCTTCAGCTCCTTTTTTGGACTAAAGGATTGAAAGAGAAGCAACAGCTGATCATTTCTGTTTTTTTTTGTAGAGGATGGAAAATTTTCAGGTGATTCAGATTCTGGTGAATTCTGGTCTTTCTTTGGTGGTTATGCTCCCATTCCCAAGCTTTCATCTTCAACCACCCAAGAACAGACGCAGACTACATGTGCAGAATTGTTCTGGTGAGATTTGGTTTTATATACTCACAGTGTTTTTGTTCTTTTCAACATATAGTAGTAACTGCCAAGATTCATGTGCTTTGAGGAGCTGCTGTCAACGACAGACCATTATTAATCATCTAAAGATCTTTTATTAACAGGATAGATACTAAGGGAAATCTACATCCAACTGGAACAAGTTCTTTGGACAAGGACATGCTTGAAAAAAACAAATGCTACATGCTGGACTGTTACAGTGAAGTATTTGTTTGGATGGGAAGAGCCACGTCACTTACAGAAAGAAAGACATCCATTTCATCCTCAGAAGTAAGTAAATATTTGTAATATAACATGATTGATATGTGAGCACATTTGTACATGACTTTCGAGTTTTAATATGTAGCTTCGCATGTGTTTCTCTTGGTTTCTGCCAGAGCATCTGAGAGGTCATTCTTAATATATGATTTGATGTTGTTGTGCTCTAGGAATTTCTACGAAAGGAGGGACGCTGGACAACCACAAGTTTAGTACTTCTAACGGAAGGACTAGAAAATGCCAGATTCAGGTCATTTTTTAGTAAGTGGCCTCAGACCGTAGAGTCTAGCCTTTACAATGAAGGTCGAGAAAAAGTGGCAGGTCTGTTTCATATTCCTCTGATTCTGTAAAGAAGACAAAAAGATTTGCTTAAGAACTATAGATACTAGATACTAAAGTAAAACTATGAATACTTTTGTGCAGCGATGTTCAAACAAAAAGGATATGACGTTGATGAGCTTCCTGATGAAGAAGATGAACCTCTCTACACAAACTGCCGAGACACCCTCAAGGTAACTCATACCAAACTGTCACATATCTGAGCATAAGCCTGATTAATGGGATTCTTTAACTAATTTCAGGTTTGGCGTGTAGATGGTGATGAGGTCTCTATTCTCTCCATTCCTGACCAGACAAAGCTATTCAGCGGCGATTGTTATATTGTCCAGTATAAATATACTTATAATGAAAGAACCGAACATCTTTTATATGTATGGATCGGTTGTGAAAGCATACAGGTACGCAGGCTATATAGCCGTATATTTTTTTTTGTTTTCATTTCTTTTATTGTTGTTCCACTATGAACTTCATTCTGTTTTTTGACTTCATTGCAGCAAGATAGAGCTGATGCCATAACCAATGCAAGTGCCATTGTTGGTTCAACCAAGGGTGAATCTGTACTGGTTAGTTCCTAGCCAGGGCCGAAAAAACAAATCACATGTTTTCTCTGTTTTCTTTTTGGTTCAACACTGTAAACCTACTGACCTGTTTTATTCAACATTCTTCATCCAGTGTCATATATATCAGGGAGACGAACCTTCTCGTTTTTTTCCAATGTTCCAGTCGCTGGTTGTTTTTAAAGGCGGTTTGAGTAGACGGTACAAAATGTTTCTAGCAGAGAAGGAAAACGAAATGGAAGAATATAATGAGAACAAGGCTTCTCTTTTCCGTGTTGAAGGAACAAGCCCAAGGAACATGCAAGCAATCCAAGTTAATCTAGTGGGTTCTTTCGTACTTTCTGCATTTCTGATTCGTTAAAGTACATTGTGATTTCCTTGGCCCTTCACTTATTATTAAGAAAATGTCCCCACGCAGGCAGCAACCTCCTTGAACTCATCCTACTCGTACATTTTACAATATGGAGCTTCTGCCTTCACATGGATTGGAAAACTTTCATCAGACTCTGATCATGATGTTCTTGACAGAATGCTATATTTCCTTGATGTAAGTAACTTTAGCTCTCAGCTGCTGTTTACTAAGTTCAGGTCATACATTTTTTCTGGTCTATTGGGGTTATTTTCAACATTAGTAGTAACAAGTCTATTTCTTCGTTTCCGTCTGCAGACATCTTGTCAACCTATATACATCAGGGAAGGAAATGAACCAGACACATTTTGGGATTTGCTTGGTGGTAAGTCAGAGTACCCAAAAGAAAGGGAAATGAGGAAACAAATAGAAGAACCACATTTATTTACATGTTCCTGCAGTTCAGGTAATGGTAAATATCTTTCAGTTTCTTTCTATTATCTTACACTACTGTTTAGCTCTGCCTTGGTTCAGCTATAAATAATGCCTAACGAAACTGTGGTCCATGACTTTGGCTCCTGTGATCAGATGTACTCAAGGTACAGTTCATGTTTGTATTGAAGCTATCTTTTAACATGATTAGAGATCAGCTGGGAATGAATATTCTTATCTTATACCCACTCTGTGCATGAGATTTTCAGGTGAAAGAAATATACAATTTCGTGCAAGACGATTTAACCACTGAAGATGTATTACTGTTGGACTGCCAAAGTGAAGTATATGTTTGGATTGGATTAAACTCAAACATAAAGTCCAAGCAAGAAGCTCTTACTCTTGGTCTGGTAATTTTTCCTCTTTATTTGGCCTTCCAAGTGCTAGGTTCGCTGTTTTTCAGTGGAACTTCAACATAGACATTAAGCAGTGTTAGGCTAATACATAAATGGGATCGAAACATCACATGCTTTAATTATTTCAATTTCTTGAGATACTTTCTTCTGTTAGTTCAAAAAAATAATTAGACTAATCTAGCTCGGTGTTATCGAAATGGCTTCTTTCTCAGTGTTTCTTAGTCCATTCTACTTGTGAGATTGCAGAAATTCCTAGAGATGGATATTCTGGAAGAAGGTCTAACCGTGAGGACTCCTCTATATGTTGTCACAGAAGGCCACGAGCCACCATTCTTCACCCGTTTCTTTGAGTGGGTTCCTGAAAAGGCAAACGTAAGACATCTATTCCCATCTTGAAGACACCTCAAACAGAGCGTTAGGAAATTCCAGAGTGTTTTGATAGTAGTCTAATGAGTTTCAAGTTTTCGGTTTTTGTATACTTTCACTAATAATATGCATGGAAACATTGCAGATGCATGGTAATTCATTTGAAAGGAAACTTGCTAGTCTGAAAGGAAAGAAGACAAGCACTAAGGTCAGTCACAGTCAAAAGAACTTAGTTACTTGAGATATGTTTTAATGATGACATACAAATTACAAGCCAATGATCGTAAACTAGCCAACTATAAGAATGATCAAGGTGTTTTTAAGTAGCTACAAAATTTCTGCTTTCAGAGATCTAGTGGAAGCCAGTGGAGACCACAGTCGAAGGATAATGCATCACGTGATTTACAAAGTCGATCTGTGAGCTCAAACGGATCGGAGCGAGGAGTATCACCTTGCTCCAGCGAAAAGCTTTCGAGATTGAGCTCTACAGAAGACATGACTAGCAGCAGCAACTCAACTTCAGTTGTCAAAAAGCTTTTCTCAGAATCTCTTTTAGTGGATCCTAGTGATGGTAAGCCTTCTCACTGAGCGTCTTGGTTAACACAGTTTCAAGATAACTCATTGATGAAAATAGTGCAGAAACAACAAACTATGTCAATTTTCTTTACTATTGGATTCTTCAAATTCTTATATCAAAGCACTGATTTTTGATGCAGGATTGGCGAGACAAGAGTCAAGCTCCAAGTCGGACATTTCTAATCAAAATCCAGTCGGTGGAATCAATCGCGATCTTAGTAGTCTAGAGTCGCTTACATATTCATATAAACAGCTCAGAGTTGATTCTCAGGAGCCAGTGTCAAATATAGATGCAACAAGAAGAGAGGTAATTCTGCAATTCCATGTAGAAGTTTAGTTCAATTATTTACAAACACATAAACACTTGACTTCAATGCAATTTTATCTCTCAGGCGTACTTAACAGAGAAAGAGTTTGAAGAGAGATTTGGAATGGCGAAATCTGAGTTCTATGCACTTCCAAAATGGAAACAGAATAAACTTAAAATATCTCTTCATCTTTTCTAAAAATCTCACTACCCTAGAGTAATATATTTGGAACAATTCAAAGCTATTTTTTTTTGGGTTTTACCAAATGTAAAAACTGTAATGTTCTTGTTCATTGCAATGACCTCGTGATATAAGTTTGAGGCTAGTAGCTTGTTACAAAATCACAAAAACTATATACATAAAGATACCTAAATATTAATGAGTAAAGTTAACCACACATTGCCTTCATGGTTCCTACTCACTTAGGCCTGCAGACTGCAGTTTTTAACCGAATTGGATTTTCCGACCCGTAAACGAACCGGAGTTTTCGGATTTAGTTCAATTTCGGTTAAGAAATCGGTTCAATTCGAAGGGATTTCAAAACATGTTCGGTTTACCGAATCGATCGGTTAACCAAAATATACCGAAAATTAATCCGAATAAGACCAAAACCGGTTCAATTCGATAGAATTTCAATAACCAAAATAAGCGCATTTTTTGTTCGGTTAATTTCGGACCAAATTTACCGAATTAACCGACTCGGTTCGGTTCGCAGGTCGTATTGGGGAATGACTCGAATAAACACAAAAATCAGTTCTTACTGAAACAAAAATCTGAAAAAAGGAACGACCTTCTGATCCTTCAATTTCATCATCCTCTTCGAATTTGTCAATTTGACTTGCCAAAACTGAAATCTTTGAGTACCCAATGGATCGAAACCAAAGACCCAGAAGCCTATTGGATTCATTAGGTGAAGAACTCATCGCAATCCTCACACCTGTCTCGATTTGTATGTTCACCGTTGTTCTTCTTGTCTGTATCCTAAACTCCGACCCTTCTTCTTCCTCCGCTTCTTTCTCCTCCATAGCCACCGCAGCTTACGCAGAGAGCGATTCAGATTCCTCATGGGACAAATTCGTCGGTGCCCTTTTGAATTCTGTCGTCTTCGTCGCTGCGATCACTGTTGCAACATTTGTTCTCGTGCTTCTCTTTTATCTCAGATGTGTTAAATTCTTGAAATTCTACATGGGTTTCTCAGCTTTTATCGTTTTAGGGAACTTAGGTGGAGAAATCTTAGTTTTATTGATCGATCGATTTAGATTCCCGATTGATTCCATCACGTTTCTGATACTTCTTTTCAATTTCTCTGTCGTTGGTGTTTTCGCTGTGTTCATGTCGAAGTTTTCGATTTTGATCACTCAAGGTTACTTGGTTTGGATTGGTGTTTTAGTTGCTTACTTCTTCACGTTATTACCTGAATGGACTACTTGGGTTCTTCTCGTAGCTTTGGCACTTTATGACATTGCTGCTGTTCTTTTACCTGTTGGTCCATTACGTCTTCTTGTTGAAATGGCTATATCTAGAGACGAAGATATCCCGGCTTTGGTTTACGAAGCACGGCCTGTGATTCGAAATGATTCCCGTTTGGTTCAGAGAAGAGTTTGGAGAGAACGAAGATCCAATGACGCTGAGAACCACGCTAATCGGAATGAAGTAAGGGCGGTTAGATCAGAGGAAGTAGAAGAAGAACATGTCGGTTCAAGCGAAAGGGCAGAGATATCTGTGCCGTTGATTGATCGAAGACCTGAGCAGGCTGAGAATTCAGAGACTTTTCTTGAAGGAATTGGGTTGGGATCATCAGGTGCTATCAAGTTAGGGCTTGGGGATTTTATCTTCTATAGTGTTTTGGTTGGAAGAGCTGCAATGTATGATCTGATGACGGTTTATGCTTGTTACTTGGCGATCATAGCCGGTTTAGGGATCACATTGATGCTATTGTCTGTGTATCAGAAGGCTTTACCAGCTCTTCCTGTATCGATCATGTTAGGCGTTGTGTTTTACTTTTTGGCGCGGTTATTGCTTGAAGTTTTTGTTGTGCAATGTTCTTCAAACCTTGTGATGTTCTAAGAGTATGGAAAGTGAAAGGGTGCTTTTGATGTAAAATTTTGAGTACAGTTTCGTTTGTTTCGTCAAAATAATTGTGTTGGTTTGATTGATTATCATTGTATAGTGTGCTCGTCCTAGACTTGAGTTCAAATCAAGTTTTTTTTTATAAATTAAATTTAGAGTTTGCATCACGTAAATAAACAAAGTCTAGCAATTAAATGCAGGAGGAAAAGATAAATCAGAAGAAATGGATTCTACAGTTTGATGAAACTCTGGGAAGCTTCATAAGAGCATCGGTGATTCTCAGGTACTTGTTGTTAACATCGTTGTCTTCTCGGTGATTCACTTCAACACCCACATTGACAGTTTCAAGACATTTCAAATGTCCCAAGAAATGCCTCATCTGTTTCAGCTCTCTACATGTACCTTGATACCCTGAAATACGTAGCACCTTCACTTGACAAGTCGATAAACAGCATATTCCCTCTTCCATCTTCTTCTTCTTCTGCATCATCCTCTTAGGTATGCAAGCGCAGGCGTCCCCGCATCTACGTGTAACTTGGTGTACAAGACCCTGATATTAAAAAGGAATATTGATGTACAATAATAACCTAGCAAAGAAATAGAAGTGTGTTGATAGAATTAAGGAGAATAATGATACCTTGATGACTAAAGTTTCTAGGTTAGGAGACTTGTTGATAAGAAGTGGCAACACTGGCCCTCTGTCTATCCTCTACCGGTGTAAACAACTAAGTGTTCACTTAGTTGTTTAAGCTATTCTTTTTTAAGTTTTGATTATGAATTTAGTTTTTATTTATTGCTGGTTGTTTTCTACTATTTTTTATTTATGCATTGCTGAAATATTTTAATATTTGATTATTTAATAAAATAAGTTTTTTCTTTTACTATTTTATTATCAGAATATTTATTTTAAATTTAATAAAATATTGAATAAACAATTGTAAATTAATAACTAATGTGCCGAACAAAAAAATATAGCAAAATAAACTAATGTTGCAAAATGAATTGCAACCTTACGAATATACAATGGATTTGCGACTACGCATATGTCATAATAATGCGACGAATATATTTTGCAGTAGCCATATTTGCAACAGTTTTTGTTTTGATCATGGTAATAAAATAAATGCAACAATCGTATATGAAAAAATAATTACTGCAAATTTTTTTTTTGTTAAAAAATAATTACTGCAAATTTGCAACAATATTTGCTTTATATTTTACGTAGCTTTTAATTATGACGATTTATAGTTGCACTCTTATACCACTATTTTGCTGCATAAATATTGTTGCAATAATACAACATATGTAGCAATAAATTAATTCACTATAAATTTGTAATGATATTTGCTATACGCTATATGTGGCAATAAATTGTAACAATTGAGAGTTGCAAACGTACGTCACAATTATATGACAAATTTATTACAATAGTATTGTTGCATTAATACGACATACATTGCAAGAAGCTAGTTCATTGTAAATATTGCAACATATGTGCAACATATGTGCAACAAATGCGAATTTGCAACGCTCAAACAGCAACAATACAAAATGTGTCTCAATTTTGTTGCAATGTCATGATTTGCAACGATATGTTGAATTATTGCAACAAATTTTATTGTTGTAATATCACTATTTTCTTGTATTGTCCAACCTCTGCACTCAAAATCAAGCCATCCCCTCCTTCTTGCCGTTATGCCTCAAATAACAAATAGATGAAGAAACATATTCACCCTTATATTGAATTGTGTAGTTAGACTTCCTTGTCCATGAGACTGTACTACCATCATACACAAAATTTCTCATCTTTGGCTTAGTGATAGGATGGTAAAAAAACCAGCTTCTACTAGTTCAAGATCTAGGTAATCGCGATCTATCCAATCTTCCCATTCCCAAGGTATCTTTTTGAATATAGTGGAATCTTGGATTGTATCAATTCCAGTCATAATACCATTTTCTTTCTTCATAACAGAGATAATGCATCTTGCATTCCTCTCTTGCACATTAAAAAAGTCATCAACCACAACATATGCCATATCTTTATCATTGTTGGCCATTTGACTATGATCTTGAGAACAATATCTCATTCCTTGAGCAACTCCATGGTTGCATCCAAAGAAGGAGCAACCATGGAGTCTTCTTAGAGCAAATTGAGCAAGTGGTTGATTTGGCTCTACCGGTGACAGAGTAGGCTCTCTCGGAGATGGATTTGTCTCTTGATGTGGCGGACTTGACCCTTCCGGTGACAAAGTAGGCTCTCTCGGAGATGCATTCGTCTCTTCATGTGGCATATTTAGCACTTCCGGTGACAGAGTAGGCTCTCTCGGAGACGGATTTGTCTCTTCATGCTGCAGATTTGGCACTCCGGATGGCGGATTTACCCCTCCCCGCAGTTCAAGAATAATCTCCCCAACTTCGACAGCCTTATCAATTTGATTAATGTCCATATCTGAAATTCAACGTGAACGAATTGTGAAATTCTCGGTGAGAATGATCAGAAAATTCTAAGAATTGAAGATCGGAAAAGAACAAAATCGAAGCAGTTAGAGTTTTTCTGTTTCTGATTTAAGGATTAACGACGACTAAACCGAGAAAAATTAAATCAGAGATGTATATTCTCTATTCTTTTCTTTCTTTCATCCGAGATGTATATTCTTTATTTACGCAATTGCCAAATTAATATACACTAGCAATTAAGTTGCAAATCCGTAGCAAAACTTGCAAAGGATTAACGAGCACATGATTTTGCAATCGTTTTGCTAGTGCACGTGTTCCTCGTAATTTGCGAGGGACATGGTTCTTCGCAAAAATTGCAAGGGAATCGCAACGTTTTTAAATTTGTGAGATGCGTTTTGCGGGGAACAGCTGTCTCTCGCAAATCCCTTGCTATAGTCGATTTGTGAGGGAGCAGCGGGGAATAGGTCCATTGCAAATTGACTGTTATAAATATAACTTTTATCTCTAACTAGTTTTCATCTCTATATTGAAAATATTAGTAAAGTAATATTTTTGAGAAATTGGATGGAATTTTTACAATAAACGGGATAAATGGTTCCGTAGGTTTATTGATCATGGTTAATTTCGTTTAAAATCCTCGATCTTCGTTTTTTCTCTTTTAATACTTTTGGTTGTTCTCGTTTTTTCTCTTTTAATACTTTTGGTTGTTCATTAGGGCCCATGTTAGTTGTTCATTACTGTCTATCATATATTCAAATGTAATTTTGAGATTAGTTTTAAATTTAATGTTGGTAAATATAAGACCAAAAAACTATATTTGTCAGATGTGCAGCTAGTTTTATTTTAATAAAAAGTGTTTTGGAAATATAAATGTTGTTGTGATTATAAAAAATTTAGTGACTCGCGAGTCTAGACAATTAATCAGAGGTATGCCAATACATAGTAGCATTAGAGGATGTACTTTAACAAAGCTTAACAATTAATTATGTACAGAAACACAGTTAGAGAATAATAGATGGTTCTTGGATTTTTAAAACTAACGTTCTTCCGAACCCTACAAGAGAAAGGTAAGGAAATCTTACGATTACTCAGCTTAATTAATATTCTTTCTATCATGTATTTTGGAGTAAAAGTAATCATGGAACATTGTAACAAGTTAATATTAAACTTAGGGACAATTTCACGTAATGAGTTATAGTCTCAATCTAAAATATGATAATTAATCTACTTAAAAGCAATGTCTCTGTCTTTTGTTGATCAAAAGCATGTGTTTTAGAGTAACATTTGATAACTCATAATATAACCATTTATCTATCACTAAACGGAACATTCCAATGATAAATACGTGTGTCTAACAAGTTTAACGTTACTGCATCTAATGTGGGCTTGTTTGGTTTGGTATTGTCTCCCGCCATATTTCACAAACTAACAGCTATTTTGTGTAATTTATTAGATCTTTGTCTGGCCAAGATTTAGGAAAACGTTAGAGAGATTTGCAAAGATTGTGGCCTCACTTAAGAAAAAGAGAAATTAATTAATTGATTATTTTTCGTAATTAAAATTTATTTTTGAGGATAAAAATTTACTGCCAGAAATTGTGGTGTTGACGCCTAAAAAAAAGTGTACGAGAATGCAGAGTTTTCAGAAAATTGATTGGTGATTTAGTATAAATTAGATTAACTTAGCATTAGCAATGGCCAAACTATATATGACCAGCAACATAAAGAAAGAGAATGATTGAATTATTATGCTAAACTTCATACGCGAACTAGAACTACTATGTAGTTAGTTTAAATGCGTTGCTGTCTTGTTAGACCTAGAACGTGGATTTTGGATCCTTTGTAAAGTCCTTTTTGGTTGGTAGTTATATAATAGTAAAATACAAAAAAATCTAATCTCTTAAAATGAAAAACAAGTACATAGAGACTCTACAAATATGTCAGTTTGCATTGCTTTCTTGAACATTTAGAACTTTAGATTGATATGTGACTATATGTTCTTGACCCAAATTGTTATACTAAAATAAGTTACGAATCGTTACATTTATCTAGTGGACGGCTTGAGTCGACGGTACAAAATGCTTAACCTTTGCTTCTTATGAAACGAGGAGAATATCATATACAATAACTTTAGAGTTTGATTACTAATGTTTGCAACAATTTAATAAAGAAGGTTTTGCAACAGTCAAATAAATAAAAGAGGAAAGGAGAAATTAGAAGAAATGGATCTGACAGTTTGTTGAAACTCTAGGAAGCTTCATAAGAGCATTGGTGATTCTCATGTACCTATTATAATCATCATTGGTGTCTTCTTGGTGATTCACGTTAACACCAACCTTGACAGTTTCAAGACATTTTAAATTCCCCAAGAAATGCCTCATTTGTTCCAGCTCTCTACGAGTTCCTTTATACCTTAAAATATTTAGGACCTTCACTCGACATATCGATAAACAACATACTTCCTCCTCCTTCTTCTTCTTCTTCTCAAGGATCTTGCAAGGGCGGCAGCCGGCTCCACATATATATGGATTTTTGTGCACAATACCCTAAAAGCATAACGACACGAGTAAGTTCATACACAATAATCTAGCATAGAATTAGAATTGTGTGTGTGTGTTGATAATACGTTGATGACTATAGTTTCTAGTCTTGATATACAAAATTCTTCCTCCTCCTTCTTCTTCTTCTTCTTCTTCTTAGGGATCTTGCAAGGGCAGGCGTTTCCACATCTATCTGTAACTTCGTGCACAAGACCCTGAAAGCATAACGACATAAGCAAGTTCATATATAATAATCTAGCAAAGAACTAGAATTGTGTGTGTTGATCAAATGAAAATGATACTAGACCTTGATGACTAGAGTTTCTAGGTTTGGAGAGTTGCTGAGGAGAAGTGGCACCACTTGCCAACCTCTGTTTTTGTTACTCTCAAAAGATAAAGTAACGAGGTTGTGAAACACCGGCATTGATTTACAACAAAAGTGAAACACCTGATTTATTATCACAACCAAAACAAACATATAGAAATTGAGACTTCAGATTAAAACAATCAATAGAAGAAGAAGTAGAAAAAGAAAAAAACTGACCTCAAGAGAATCATAGGACAAGTGAAGAGTTTTAACATTGCTTATCCCTGCAACCAGACCCGTAACATCACCCACAGCATCCTCACCATATTCATCATCATCATCATCATCATCATCGTCGTCATCATCACCATCATCATTATCATCATCATCATTCTCTGTATTACCATCCTCATCATCATCATCATCATCATTCTCTGTATCACTATCCTCATCATCAACCATACGTCGACGTTCCCATGATCGAATATTCAGTCTAGCTTCTAAAAGAGATCCCAGATAAACCTCATACTGATCTGCAACATAACTATAATAGTCAAGGTACACAAGATTTGGTGTCTTAAAGAAAACATCATCTTGAGCCTCGCGGTAACTGGGAAAATGGTGATAGATGGTCAGTCGCTTGATGGAAGGACTCAACACAGTGCCACTCCAGTTCGGGGGAAATCTAGCCTCACTATAATATAAAAACAAGTCTTCAAGCACAGGGCAGCCAGAGATAAGATCTTGATAACTCTCATAATCTTCAAACATCACTAAAATGAGAGAGAGTTTTTTTAGCGCTGGGAAAATCACGCTCCCACTAGGAAGACGACGGTCAGGATAAAACCCAGTGCATATTGTGAGATTAACCAGTGTGTTGCTTGTGAAGACCTCGATTTCTATAGTATCCAAAAATATGATATCTAAATAAAGTTCCAAGCAGCCGCGCGTAAGGACAGTCTGGATCCAACTATTCACACGAGAATAGTCATGCAAGGGCAATGCAAAATTTAATTGCAGAGAGAATCTTTTTAAGGTGGGAGCATTGTTTAAGAGAGAAAGCATATTGTCCACGAAATCACAGAAGTCACCAGGATCACCACCTCTTGCGTAATTCAAATCAAGATTTTCTACAAGGGCAAACAGAGTCCTCCACCTTTTGGACAGAACCGATGTGGAAGCAGCACGTTTTGTCGGAAGCAAAGACAGGATTTTGCCAAGAACCTCATCTGGTAGACTGCTAATTAAATCTCTAGAACCCATTATCTAGAAATTCAATTAGGGTAGCAAATCTTAAAACGAAATTACCCAGGAAATCCAATCAACAAAAATTCGTACAGAGGATCATGTAATTCAGATCGAAAATAAAGATATAGCGAAAGGAAACCTGAAGAGGGATGCGAAAGCAGTACAGATCTCCAACAAGAAGATCGAAGTAGAAGCTTTTCTGTCGTGACGACGGGGGAATTCGAGAGACAGAGAAGGAGATATTATTTATCTGAGGATCCGAGAACTGACCGATCTGGAATCCATTTTTGATCCTCCCGGCAAATTTGGATATCCGGGGTTCGGTCTGATCCAGGTAGTAAATATTTTGGTTATGAGCAAAAAAATATTCTCGACAATTTTTCCAATTTACCTTTCATCTCCAATAAAATATAGATTTAACTGAAATATTTTCGATTTGATTTTGTTATCTTTCCATAAATTTGTGCAATAAGATAATATAACATCGTCCCGTGAAATTAAACATCATTTTGTCATTTTTATAAGTTTAAAAATTATAATATTTGAAACTTCATAAAAGTTTTAATATCCACCCAAACTTCGTAATTGACTAATTGTATATTGATTGTTATATCTAAGATTTCAGCCATTGTATACCATCACATATTAATATCTACCCAAACCCGTCCCACCATATAACCCCGTCATGTGAAATTAAACACCACTTCGTTAATTTTATTTTTAATAATATTTAATTATTTTAAAGGCATATAATTCGAGTCAATTTGTAATTGTTATAGAGTTCAAATACTATTAATATTATAAACTTTTTATGGAATTTTTATAATAATTTTTAAATCTTATAAAAATTCCATAATAATTTTTAAATCTTATAAAATTTCCATAATATTTTAAAGGCATATAATTCGAGTCAATTTTTATAATTATTTTTAAATCTTATAAAAATTCCATAATAATTTTTAAATCTTATAAAAATTCCATAATATTTTATAATAATTTTCAAATATTATTAATATTATAAACTTCTTATGGAATTTTTGTAAGGTTTAAATTCCATAAGAAGTTTATGGAACTTCTTATTGTTATAAGATTTATAATAATTTTTAAATCTTATATAAACTATTTGAAAATTATTATAATCTTATGAAAATTATTATAATATTATTAATAATTTTTAAATTTTATAAAAATTCCATAAAATTTTTTAAATCTTATAAAAATTCCATAATATTTTAAAGGCATATAATTCAGAGTCAATTTTTTTTATGAAGTTTGCTTTCATGATTTGTAACTTGATTTCATGCACAATGATCTAGCAAAGAAATATAAGATTGTGTGTGTGTGTGAGATTATCAAAAGAAATTGATAATACCTTGATGACTAAAGTTTCTAGGTTTGGAGAGTTGTTGAGGAGTAGTGGCACCACTTGCCAGCCTCTTTCTTTATCACTCTCAAAATATAATGAGGAGGTTTTGAAATACCGGAATTGTATCACACCACAAGTGAAACACCTGGATTTATTACTGTAACAGCAAAAACAAACATATAATAAAAATAAGACTTTGCTAGCAACTTCAAATTAAAACAATCAATATAGAGGAAGAAGAAGAAGTAGCAAAACTGACCTCAAGAGAATCAAAGATAAGTGAAGGGTTTTAACATTTATCATCCCTTTAACCAAATCCTTCACATCACCAAAAACATTCTCATCCTCACCAGCCTCATCTTCATCGCTCTCATTCTCATTCTCATCGTCATCTATAAGTCGAAGATCGAGTCTAGCTTCTACAAGGGAACCAAAATCAACCACATACTTTTCCGTGACATAACTCGAATACTCAAGGTATATAAGACTCCGTGTCTTAAACCAACATTCATCGTAAGCCTTTAAACGTAACTCAGGAAGATTGTGATAGATGTTCAGTCGTTTGATGGAAGGACTCGATACGAGCCCGTTCCAAGCCGGGCATCTGGAGTCATTATCATAATGTAGGAATAATTCCTCAAGCACATGGCAGCCAGAGATGAAATCTTGATACATCTCAGCATCAGTACTCTACTGAAACTAGAGAAAGTGATTTAAGCACAGGAAAAAACACTCCCCAAGAGGAAGAAGACCCTCAGCATAATACCCACCGCATATTGATAAAGAAAAACACCAATACTTCAATTCAAATCGTAACCGGAACCAAATCGGACTAACGTTCATAAAACGCGAGCCGATATCTCAAATGACAAAGATCTAACGGAGAGATCTCGATCTAGATGAGTACAACACCATAGTTTCAACACAAACTAAGAAGAAGAAGAAGATTACAACTAAAAATAATTTCTCTGGTTTTTGCATGCTGAAGAAGAAGAGAACGATGTCTCTTTTAAAGGGCTTTAGCCCACTTGATCCAATCTTTTCTTTCCACGTGTACTGCAGCTCACTACTCCTCACGTGCCACACGTGCCAGTCTTCTTACATCATTTCTTCATTTCTCCATACTCTAATTCCTATATCAAATCTCCCCTCTTCAAAGAACCTTGACCACAAGGTTCAGTGTTTGGAAATTGTCAATGCGAAACAAAGAGAACTCCCATGCCGTTACCTCCATAGTTCTTCTTAGAGTCTCTTGTGATTCAAGTCCAATCCCAGGGTCAAAGGTTTGGCTTTGTGTGACTTCAAGCTTTGGTTCTACTTTCGCAAAATCCAGTGCAACAGTCCAATACACACGCTGAGACACCGCTACAGCATTCTTGGCCTCACTTCCAAGCTTGTAAACAACCAATCTCCTGCTGCATAAGAGCTGCGTCCCGTTGTCACTGTGTTCCCAAAGAAAATATCCATAAAGCACTGTAGAACACCAACTCTTCCATAAGTACTGTGACATGTGATGTTTCTTCAATCTGAGCTTAGATAGTTCTCCCATCTTCACTAATTCACCTTGGATTAACCTATTTTTGTAGTGAAAGTTCCTGCCTATTTTTATAGTCTTCTCCACAGAAAATTGATCATCTCTCCACTTGTGCTTTATTTGGAACATCACTTCACCAAGTGTAAACTGTTGTAGGTCTTTTAAAGTTTCAAAGACTTTTGTATCATGCTCACTATCTCCATGTTGTTTCTTGCGATCTTCACCCATCACATCCTCTATTTGTGGCCTGGTTTTCTTAAAACAGCCATCTTTGAGCGTAGACCAAGTCTTACAGAACTTGTTCTTCTTCTTTATTACTACAACTTTGACACTTGAAGCAAAATATTTGTACATCACACCCCCTCTGTAAATCAGTTTGTGTGCTATTCGTGGCTTGCCTCTCTGTTGTTTCCTTAGTTTGAATTTGAATCTCCAACACTTGAAACACTTAATATGCCTCTTTTTACTTTGTTCTCTGAGAGGCATTTTCTCGAACAGTTGGTGTGCAACTTGACTGTTAGGGACACTTGTTGATTTCTGAAGCGACACATCCCTTGCTTTGGTGGTGTATAAAGCTTGCAATATCGTTTCTTGATGATTAAACAAGTCAGTACAGCCAACAACAACAGAGTGGGAATCCTCACAAACAACCGGTGATGCATTGTGAAATCGAAGTCTAGATTCCAAGTTAGAAACCGGTACCTGAAATTGGGGAATCAAGTCTTCCTTCAAAATCGCTTCATGTGCCATCGTTTCAATCGATTTTGTCTCAACCTCAATTTCTACCACTTTTGTATCCTTCGCTGCTTTCGGTTCACTAATCCCTCTGGTATCAGTGTGGCTTCTAGGATGTGCTTGCTCATACAATCTTCCAAGCATGAAACACTGGCTCACTGTTTGTGGCTGAAACATTTTAACATTCACTTGAGTATCTGTTCTGAGCCCTGCTAAGTAAATACTAACCAAGTATGCTTCAGATAGATTCACACGAGATTTGATCAGCTCAAATTTTTCATGATAATCTCTAATTCCATCTGTTTCCTGTAATTGTTTCAACTCAACAATTGGATCAACCTCCAGCTCCTTAAATCTACCTTGCAACAACATTTTGTATGTCATCCAATCGTGCATAACATGCTTCCACAGAACTGATTGTACCAGCCATTGATGCCAAGTAGCAGCCAGATCATCAAATAGGCCAGATACTAAACCTATTTTCAATTCATCCGGTGTTCGATCAACCAAGAAAAATTGTTCAATCTTAAAGAGCCATTCCTTTACTCTATCGCCACCAAATCGAGGACAATCTAACTTCGCCAACCTTGTAACTCTCACATAAGAATTAGAGATACCTGAACGATGTCCATGTGCTGGATCTGATGGAGAATTGGCAGGTGCTGGTGATACACGAGACGAATTGCGAAGATCTTGTACATGAGACGAATATCCCTTGTTCGTCAACAGATTCATAGCCTCGAGCATATCCAAAATATTTCTATCAATCTTCTGATTTCGTTCCTTCACCAAATCTTCTAACGCCTGAATCCTCGATCCAATCGTTTCTTCTGTAACCACTGCTTGCGATCGAGTCTTCGCCATGGTTTCACGAACCACCATTTCCGTGACAAACATCGGAGATCGTGTTGCCGCCATTGATACGAATCCGAGGATGACACAGCTCTGATACCTTTGATAAAGAAAAACACCAATACTTCAATTCAAATCGTAACCGGAACCAAATCGGACTAACGTTCATAAAACGCGAGCCGATATCTCAAATGACAAAGATCTAACGGAGAGATCTCGATCTAGATGAGTACAACACCATAGTTTCAACACAAACTAAGAAGAAGAAGAAGATTACAACTAAAAATAATTTCTCTGGTTTTTGCATGCTGAAGAAGAAGAGAACGATGTCTCTTTTAAAGGGCTTTAGCCCACTTGATCCAATCTTTTCTCAGCATCAGTACTCTACTGAAACTAGAGAAAGTGATTTAAGCACAGGAAAAAACACTCCCCAAGACATTTCTCCATACTCTAATTCCTATATCACATATTGTGATCTCAACAAGTGTATTGCTCTTGAAGAACTCAGTGTCTATACGATGCACACGTAGGGTCTCCAAGTGAAGCTCCAAGAAGCCGCGCTGCAGGAGAGTGTGAATCCAACTGTCTATCTGAGAAGCGTCATGCTCGAATGCACCATTCAGAGAGAATCTCTTGACAGTGGTAGAATTTCTTAAGAGAGCAAGTGTTTTGTCCACGAAATCACAGAAGTCACGAGGACAACCACTTGCGTCATTCAAATCACGGTTGTCTACAAGCGCGAGCAGATTCCTCCACCTCTTGGACAGAACCGATGTGCAAGCAGCACGATTTGTCCAAAGCAATGACAAGATTTTGCCAAGAATCTCATTTGGTAGACTGCTAATTAAATCTCTAGAACCACATCTACTCTTTTGGTAGACATAT